GAGGAGAGGAGAGGAGAGATGGGGACAGGGGAAATGGAGAGAGGGGAGAGGGGAGAAGGGAGAGGGGAGAGGAGAGAAGGCAGAGAGCCCCAGAGCACCATGTTCCAGAAGAATGGCAACATCCTAAGAAAGTTGTTCCTTGGGACTTGGTTCCTAGGCACTCAGACTGTACAGCCACAGAAAGAAGCCATGGAGCCACAACTATATGAAGTGTGATAGGAGCAGAGTCACCCAAGCCCTTTAGAGCTCACATCTTGCCACAAAATACCTCAAATGCTGAATATAGAACTACAGGACTCAATGTTTGCCCTGCTGAATTTTGGAGTTGATTTAGTTTCCATTTCTTTGTATCCACTATTTGCATCTTTTGAAATGAAAATGTCTGTCTTGTGCCATTGAATGTTGGAAGTGTTTAAATTTCTTTTCAATTATATCAGAACTCACAGCTAAGAGTTTAACCTTACCTCTCAGAGGAGACTTTAGACTTGAGGTTTTCAGCAATACTAAAACTGTCAGAGCTGGACTAAATGCCTTTTGCATATAGGGATGTGCATGAATCTTTGGGGAAGCAGGAATGGAATGTTATGGCTCACGTCTAGATATTCCCCCAAAGCCTCATGTGGTCGTAAGTGGGGGCTTTTTCAGTGCTGGCTGGATCTAGAGTATGTGACGTTGGAGTTGATTCATTGTGCAATCTTAGGATCAAGGGCACTAGGATTAAGTGTGTGAGATAAAATATAGAGGGATAGAAAGAGGCGTGAGCCTGGTGTGGTGGCACACACCTGTAATCCCAAATACTGGGGAGGCTGAACCAGGAGGATCCTTGGGAGTTCAAGATCAACCAGAGTTACAAAATGAGCTCAAGACCGGTCTGAGCTGCACACTGAGAACCTGTCTCAAAACAAAACAAAACAAAACAAAACAAAACAAAACAAAACAAAACAAGAGGTGTGGTCATCCTTGTCGCTGTGCTCCCTCCACTCATCGTGAAACATTTCTCCTCTGTGATGCTTGTCTTCATGCCACTCTACCTTGGATCCAAGTGATTATGGACTGAAACCTCTACAAATTGTGAGCTAAATAACTCTTTCCTCCCTTAACTTGTGGGTGTTGGCTATTTTGCCTCAGCAACAAGAAAAGTAACTAGGGACAGAGAGATAACTCAGCAGACTAAGTGCCTGCTTAAACAAGCCCAGGGACAAGGGTTCCAGTGCTACATGCCACATTGGTCCTACCCCTGGGCACATTGAGCCACCACCGAGACCAGGTGTGGTGGTGCATGCCTATAATCCCAGCACTGGGGAGGCTGAAAACAAGAGCATCACCACAAATCCAAGCTGCGTAGCAAGACCCTGTATCAACTACATTTAAAAAAAAAAAAAAAAAGATGGAGAAGAAGAAGAAGAAGAAGAAGAAGAAGAAGAAGAAGAAGAAGAAGAAGAAGAAGAAGAAGAAGAAGAAGAAGAGGAAGAAAGAAGAAAGAAAAGTAACTAATACATCCATCCTGGAAGGTCTAGGTCTGTTTGTCTAGGTTCTGAATTTGGGTGGGAAGCTGTATGTTGTATATAACCGATATACCTAAAGCAAAGGCTGGAGGAGTCAGGCTGTCATTAGATCCTCTCCAGCTTCATGAAGTTAAAAGCAGCTGCGTCAGTATTCCCCAGCTAGCTCATCCTTTGCCTGCCAACCTCCCCTCAGTAACTACAACAGTCTCATATCCAATTTTGTTCTCCACAGATTCATCTCTGGGCTTTGGTCACAGCAATCTTTAAAAGCACAAATCCAGGTCACCCTCCTGTCCAAAATCATGCAGTCTACATAATGTCCTTGGAAGAGCCTCCAAATTCTGCAAGGGTGAAGAGAGTGTTCCAGTTTGTCTGCTTCTGTGTCCTCAAATGTCCTCACCAGGCCCCCTTTTCTTCCCAAATCCATTACCCAGCAGCACAGGGTTGTTTGGGGTTCCCAGATTATACCAGGGTGGTTTCTCCTGTCCTGACTCATACACCAACACCACCCCCCACTCCCACCCCACCCCCGTTGTACCAGCCCTATCCTCTGCATCTAGAAACGCCTACTCAGATGTCTCTCTGGGGCTAGGTGCCCCTCCTCCTTGCTTTCATGGGCTGTGCTTTTCCTCAACAACTACAACACACCAGACCTTGACCTATAGTTGCTTAGTTACCAACTTTGTCTCCTGTCCTGCCACTTTGAGGGTAATCTCCATGTTTTTCCCCCCAGCCTAGTCTGTGGTAGCCCAAGGTAGGATGCTGCCAAATAGCTCAGTGGATTAAAGCGCCGCAAGCAGGCTCAGGGCTGGAGGTTTCATCCCCAGGTCTGCCATGCCGGCCCCATCCCTGGGCCTCACTGAGACTGCAGCTGAGAGTGGGCAACTGAGACTGGGTATGGTGGCATCTGCCTGTAATCCCAGCTCTTGGGAGGCTGTAAACAGGAGGCTCACTATGAGTCTGATCTAGTAGTGAAACTCTGAACACCCTGTAGACCCTTCCCTAAAAAATAAATAAAAAATTAAAAAATTTTTAAAAAGATATCTATCTTAGTAAAAATGTGTTCTGTACATGAAGTAATTGATAAACTAATGATAGCTCATGCCTGGTTCACAAATCAAAAAAGTGTATGAAATGTGCCAAACATGGTGCCACACACCTGTAAACCCAGTGCTCAGGAAGATGAGGAAGGATAGCAAATTCGAGCCCAGTCTGGGTAATTCAGGGACTAAAAGAAAAAAAAATTTTTTTTTCAAAGATCTGGGGATGTAGTTTATGGCAAAAGCCTTGGGTTCAAACCCTAGTACCAAATAACCCCCAAAAAACAAAAAAACCCAAATGTGAAATGAATAAACAAGAAACTGGAAGTTCAGATCCAGGGAGAGATACGGAGGAGATTAGGGAGTTTGGAGATAAGTAAAGGAGTGACGTTCCCGCTTGAAAGGATTAACACGGAAAGCAAATTCCTTCTAGCAGAAAGCTTGAAGCATTAGGAGGAAGTCCTGCCTGCAGGGCCGACCCCCCTGGGCGGGTCCAAAATTAGTCCCGCCTTCTAGCCAATAGGAGGGCTTCTCGACTTCCATGGCTCCGCCCAGCCGTTTCAGGGCGTGAGACTACACTTCCCGGCGCGCCTTGCGGCCGGGGCAAACGAGCAGCCGGAAGTGGGGTGCGCGGGGTCTAAGGGCACGAGGGTGGCGGCGGGCGGGACCGAGGGGGGGTTGCGGTTGAGCCGGTGGGCCGGGGGTCGTGATCATGGCAGAGGCCAGAAAGCGGCGGGAGCTGCTTCCCCTGATCTACCAGCATCTGCTGCACGCAGGCTACGTGCGCGCGGCGCGGGAAGTAAAGGAGCAGAGCGGCCAGGTGAGCGTCTGCGGGCCGCGTGCGGGATCTGGAGAGCGGGGCTCGCTCCCCCGCCCCGGAATACCTGAAGGGCCCCGGGTTCCGCGGGCCTCCGGGGGGGGGGAGCCCAGTGATGTGGGAGGGATCTGTAGCCTTTGCCTGCTCTCTGCTGCTTCCAGCGCCCACCTCGGCCTCAGTTTCCCCGTCCGTGTAGTGGGCGGGTCGGGACATGTGATCCGACGCTTAAGGTTTTGAAATTCCCGAGCCGCTTACTTCTCCCACCTTCCTGGTAGTGGCAGTGTTAAGTTTTCTAAGTCTCCAGCCACGTGGCCCGGCACGGCCCCCTGGGACCACAGAGGTGGCCGTGGGTGTCAGGGTGAGTAGCAGCCGGTTCTCCCAGGAGCCTCAAAAAGAGGGATGCTGTAGTTGTCGATCTGTATCTCAAGCTCTTGACCATGCTTGGCCTGGATAGGATAGCTTTGGGGAATAGAAAGTTCTTTTGGTTTTGGTTTCCTCATTCTTCCTTCATTCAGCAACTGTTAGTCATGTGCTCCAGGTGCTGGTGACTGCCACCCTCAGCCTTCCTGGGTCTTAAGTGTGGTAGAGGCTACACATGAAAGAAGCCCTAAAGCGACTGTGCACTGAGCACCACATTAAGTATTAATGGCAAGAGTGCCCTGTCAGAACTGCTTTCCTGAGGAAGTGACAATTGATTTGAATCTGAAGGAAGGGGAGGTGTTGCAGACAGTGTTACAGATCCTTTGGAGTTAGCCGAGGGCAATGTGTGTACACCGTGGCCTGCAGGAGAACCGGCTGTGCTGAAGTGTGAAGTACAAAGCCTATAGCCTGCCAGGGAGGTGGAGGCAGAGGCTGGCCTGAGCTCTCCCTGGGCAGTTTGGTCTTTGCCTGAGCAGCAGTGGTGAACTGTTGCAGAGCTTTAAGCTGGTGAGGTGGGACTGACCTGACTAGTGAGTATCAAGTTGGCTACAGTAAGGCTGTCTCCTAACTCTTGCTCCAAGACCTCCTGGAGGAACCAAGGGTGATGAACCCTGAGGTGTCATCAGTGGGTTTCCCTAACCTTCTGGAATTCAGTTCCCTGCTTACTCCAGTTATGTCACATAACAGATAAGGGGAGCAAGAGATAGTACCCATCTTCATTACAGCATGTGCTGAGGCAAAAGTATCTCGCCCGGTTAGGGCGTGGTAGTACATGCCTGTCATCCCAGCACTTGGGAGGCTGACGCAGAAGGATCATTGGGAGTTCAAGACCAGCCTGGACCACAGAGTGAACTCAAGGCCAGTCAGCTGCATAGTGAGACCCTATCTCAAGAAGATAAATAAATAAAGTATCTTGTTCTGTGCCTTCATGGAGCAAATCGCCTAGCAGTGGACAGTGACAGATACAAATGTAAACTCGTAATATAGTGTATCCAGTGGATGGTAGGTGCTAGCTGTCACAGGAAGGCAGGCAAGGGGGAGAAGGAATGGCAGAGTCCAGGTGTAAGTGGGGAGTAGGGTAGACAGGGAAGCCTCACAGGAGGTGACATTGAGGTAGAGACCTAAGGAAAGGGGGGAGTAAGCTGTGCGATTAGCAAAAGAAATCATTCCAGATAGCAAGAATGCCCAGGCCCTGTTGGGGCACTGGGGCCTAGCACATTTTAGGACAGTGAGAAGGTCCCAGGGCTTAGAGTCCTAGCTCACTGTGCTGTACACTGTTATAGACTGTCTCCTTCAGCCTGACAGCAACCTGGGAATGTTGGTGTTGCTGTTTGCAAGAGAGATCTTGCCTGAAGTCCAAGGAGGCAAAGAGTTTAGTGCAGCCGACTAACAGCCACTCTGCCTGACTGCATAGGTGCCTCTTGGCCACTCCGCTCAGGTTGTTGCTGCCCTCTGTTCCTGCCACGGTGTTCATAAGCCTCCAGGGAGCACTTGACACATGGAGAGCAGTCCTCTGGCCTCAGCTCTGAGGGTCAGGATTCTCTACCAGGTTGCTTCTGCTTCTGCCGAGAAGGTGATGCTCTGTAGGCTTAATGTCTTCGATACAGACCAGCAGGCCATGCTCTTGCCATCTGGCTGCCTCGAGTGTCTGGGATCTGGGTGGAACTCTGGGGAGATTGACTGACCAGGCCCTTGAAGGCCTTCTGAAAGGTTGGACTGGTGTGGGAGAAGCTTTGTCTTGTGCCAGGCAGGCCGAACGAATAAATGCCAGCTTGGAACATTCCAACCCCAGCCTCCAAAGAAGGTTCCTCTTACAACACGGTGTATCACAAGGTTTTTACCTGGAATTGCTTGCCTTTCATGTTTGTGGAAGATTCTGAATGTCACTGGCAGGACCATGCAGATGTACTTCTCTGAGTAGGAAGATCCTGCACTGGACTTTGTGTGTACAAGCTTGAGGTCAGGGAGTGGTGACCCCAAAGAGGTCTCTACTGTGCCTGGGGCTGATAGCAACTCTCTTTACTTCTTGCAGAAGAGTTTCCTGGCTCAGCCTTTCACCCTTCTGGACATCTATACACACTGGCAACAGTAAGTTTGGTGAAGCTGAAGGGTGGGATTGGGGCACCCCAAACAGTCAGCTTGGCATAAGGTAAGATTGCATTCTGGGCTAAGGTCTCTCCCCATGGCCCACATGGACATGCTTGTTGTGCCGCAGGAAGGCAGATCACGTCAAATGTGTGGGTATCTAGTGGTGGGAGGGGACATTGAGAGCTATGAGCTCTTAAGAACAAAAGTATCTTGCCAGACCTGGTGGCACACGCCTGTAATCCCAGCACTTGAGAGGCTGAGGCAGGAGGATTACCACAAGTTCAAGGCCAGCATGAACTATGTAGCAAAACTGTCTCAAACAAAGCTTCTCACCAGCTTGTTATTCACTTGGTTAACAGCCATTTATAAGCATCTGTGGAATGTCAAGTCACGTTCTGAGCATGGAGACAGTGTCATAAGTTAGATAGGCCTGACTGCTTCTTCTCTGGAGCTAACATTGCAAGCAAGGACGTAGTCATGTGTGAGATTGAAACAAATGAATATAAAATGATCATGGTAGTAGGATTACCAAAGAGAAGACCTTGCCACAGCCTCACCTCCTTGTACACTTTAGAGAGGCTTCCCTGGGATGCCCTTCACCTTGAAAGCTGTGGGAAACAGGACTGAACCAGGCCATGGGTACAGAGAAGCGGGGAGAGTATATCCTGGGCCGAGGGGACAGTACAGGTAAGGCCAGCAGCCGGCAGGGCCTGGCCATGCAAGGTGAGAAGGTGTTTACCTAAGAGCAGTGGGAGCCACTGGAGGGCAGGGCAGGACATGGAATGAGGTCTGCCCTATGGGAGTTGGCCCTAAGGACATCCTCATGGAGGAGGAGGACAGCAGCAGCTGGGTGCATGGGACTCAGAGGGAGCCAACTATGGAGGGGGAAAATGCCAAGGAGGCATTAAATATGAATGCCTGTGAAATGTATTTGGTTGGTTTTTATACTACTGGAAGGTTAAACCCGGAGCCTTCACACTGAGCTGTATCCCTAACCCCTTTAATTTTTAATTTTTATTTTTTAAACAATTACCTTAACACTGGAAAATAACACTAATTCTTTATTTGTGTGTGTGTGTGTGTGTGTGGCCCGCTCAGCCCACCAGGGGGCGGGGCTGGCTGGCATGTGGTGCTGGGGGATTGAACCACGGTCCCTGTGCTTTGCTAAGCTTGTTCTTCTAAGTAGGTGCTTTAGACCACTGAGCCATCTCACCAGCCCCTTTAATTTTTATTTTGAAAGAGTTTCTCCAAGTTGCTAAATTGCCCAGTCTGGGCTAGAACTGTGATATTCCTCCCTCAACTTCCCAGAGTGCTGGAATTGAACCATGCCCAACTGAAACTTATAAAACCTAAGTTTTTCCAAGGAAGGGGCGTTAAACCAAGGCTGCACCAGCGAAAAATGAAAAATGGCAAAAGGGTTACGTGTTATCCCCATGTACCCGCCTGACCACAGCCTGCTGGGGGAAAGAAGTACCATAGACATGTCCCATGGAACATGGAAGCAGAGCCAGGCATGGTAGCACACGTTGGTAATCCTAGCACTTGGGAGGCTGAGGCAGGAGGATCACAAACTGAGGCCCACCCTAGACTGCTTTGTATGTTAAATTTTTTAAAAATTAAATTTTAAAAAAGAATGAAGCCAGGTGTGGTGGCACATACCTATGAGTCAAGCACTCTGAGGCTGAGCCAGGAGGATCACTGAGTTCAAGGCCAGCCTGGCTACATAGTGAAATCCTGTCTCACAAAGACAAAAAAAAGAGAGAGAGAAAAAGGATGTTGTGTTCCCATCTGCTGGCTTGCCCAGATCCAGTTAGCGAGGTGAGGGGCCTGTCCTGGGAAGAATGGTAGTAAGTATTAGTTAGTGTGGAGGCTCCACTGTCTGCACATCTTTGAAGACGAAAGTAGTGGTGGGGTAGACTCCATGTCTCTGCCTGCTTTAGAAAGACAAGTTGTTGCTTCTCTATACAAACATTTGATCATCTGAGTGACCCAAAAATGAAGCAGGCATCTGGGAATGGTGACTTCCCTGTTACCAGTAGGGAGCCAAGACAGGGAGGATGAGGAAGGGATCCTGGCTTCTGACAGCGAGGGGACTGCTGTGTGTGCTTACTGTGCTTCCTTCCATAGAAAACCACATCAGTGCGCTGTGCCCCAGGGCCCTCACGTGGGTGAGGGATACAGAATGGGACAAGCATCATACACAGAGGCAGCCAGCTGAGTGGTTGCCACAAATCAGACTCAGGCATGAGTGGTGGGGACCTGAAGCAAGTTTCTTGGCCAAGAGCTGTACTTCCTTATCTTTCTTCTGTAAACATGAAAAAATATAATTATCTCAAAAAAAATAATAATTATCTCATTGCATTGTAAAGATTGTGCATAGTAGTCTCCACAGTAAAGCACTAGACCCAGCCACTGGGAGCCGCCGCCACCACTCTCCCACCCCCCGTCATGTTTGTTGTGCACCTAGTACAAGCCTGTCATTGTTCTTGATAGGACAAGGAACAAACCAGAGGAAAAAAATTCCCAACTCTTCTGTCTGTATTCTGTTGGGAGGAAAGAGGCCCAGTTAATTGATACATGAAATCACAAGTGGCCTTCCTCGGAGGAAGGCACCTGAGCAGCACATGCCAAGCTGTGGCAGAGCGCTGTCCATCCCAGCTGGAGATGATGGGCACAGTCCATGACTCACTGGGCAGGAGGGTGGACTCCAAGGAGGTGATACGTCAGAGTCCCCAGGGCTTGACCCTCTGGGTACTTAGCCTGCGAGTGGCCCATACATACTCCTCACACCTAAGGGTTCCCTTCTCAGTAAAGCAGCCAGGTACCCAAAAATCACAGCTCCAGGGTCCTGGACTGCAGAGTGGGAAGGGAGGCTCTGTCCCATCTCTCCCAAGGCAGAGCTGAGCATGGGCAGGTTTTGCTCATGCGGCCCAGCTTGAAATGGGTTTACTAATGCTGGGTATTTTGCACAATTTTATAGACCTCCTTTGTATGTAGCCTTTTTAAAACAGAATTAAGCCATTGGGGGCCGGGGAGATGGCTTAGTAGAATAAGTACTTCCCTGGCAAGCGCAAAGGCCTGAGTTCAATCCCCGGTTCCACCAAAAAGGAAAAAAAAAAAAAAAAAAAAGCCATATTGCTGTCTGTGTAGTACCAAGTGAAGGGTTATCAGAAGGCTTTTGGATTTAGTAAGTTTTTATTTTTTTATTTTTTGTCTGTTTGAGGCAGGGTCTCACTATGCAGTTCAGGCTGGTCTTAAGTTCACTTTGTATTCACATGTGTCCCTGTGTGAATTTTAGGCCGTGTGTTATATTCACACGTGTCCCCTTCTGCCACCCCTGTTGGGTTAAGGAGCAGCCTGAGCTGAGGGGACAGGGGATGTATGTGTTGGTTGTGATACCCTTGGCCTCCCACTGGGGCTCAGTCCCTCATCCTCCTACCTTCCCTTCTTCCATGGACTTCAGATAAGCAGTAGCTGAAGCCTCTGCCACCCCGTACCCCTGCCGCCCTGCCCTCAAGTTAAGCTTCCACCTGGGACCTGCCCAGGAGGACTGAAGCTGGGAGCCATGGTAGGTGGGCTGGTGGCGTGGGGGAGTGGCTGTCATCCTATAAGCCACACCCCCGCCTCAGCTCTGAGTGTGGGACCCAGTGCCAGGGTATGAAGGACAGTGTTTCCATCAAAAGGGAAGAAAGCAGCAGGAGGGCAAGAGGTGAGTGAGGGGAGCCTGAATCTGGGCAAGGAGCTAGATGCTTTTAGAGAATTGTCCCTTAGACCCTCTGCTTGGAACTTCAGGTGGGCTGAGGCCCTTGGAGAGTAACCTGAGAAGTCGCTGGGTCCTGCCTGTTCTTGTTCCAAAACCCAGAGGGCCACAGAGGGTCTCTGGGGGCAGGGAAGAGGCTGACTTGAGGAGGCTCCCTCCTGCCTTTTATTAAACTAGGGTTCTCTGTTCCTGCTTGTAATAAAGCTTTTGTTGTTAAGAATTACGTTTGTGAAGTGCTATGGTCAACTGCCAGCCTCCTCCCTCTGCTAGGCCTTTGTGGGTAGTGGGGAAACAGGCTTTAAATAAACAACAGGAGATACAGAAAAGTGCTCAGGAGGAAACGAAACTGGACGGCAGGACAGATAGGATGAGGGGAGCATCAGCGAGGGCTGCTCTGAGGAGGCCAAGCTAAGAAGTGAAGACGGAGGACCCAGCCCAGGCAGCAAGCCCTTGGGGCAGGGCCCTGGGTGGTCTGCGCAGTGCCTGCTTAGTCTCTAAGTGACTGCTGGCTGCAGCTATTCCACAGCGCTGTTGGTTGTTCATGATTATCTTTAAGACTTTGAAGATAACTTTGTAATTCAAGAATTACAAAGTAATTAAAAGCATTTTAAAGAATACAGTGAAGTAGGGCGGGGGAGATGGTTCAGTAGAATAAGCACTTCCCTGGCAAGCACATGGGCCTGAACTTCCCTGGTAAGTTCAGTCCCTGGTTCCACCAAAAAAAGAACTAAGTAAAGATGCAGAACACAGAACTGTATCTGTATTGTTGTTATCACTGTTTGAACTCTGCACATGTTTCCTTTTGGGGCTGGGAGGATAGGAAAGGGCTGTCTGCTCAAGTGTTGTGGAGGTGTCTTGTCACCCAGTTGGTATAGCCAGTCACCTTTGACCTGCAGAACCTCAGAAGTTGGCCAGAAGCGGAAGGCAGAAGATGATGCAGCGCTGCAAGCCAAGAAGACCCGAGTGTCAGACCCAATCAGCAGCTCGGAGAGCTCCGAAGAGGAGGAGGAGGAGAAGCAAGAGACAAAAGCCAAAACTGCTAAAGCTGGTAAGCCTGCTGGGTGTTGCCAGGGCTTGGGCTTCCCTGCCAAGCACCCACTGCTGCAGCTTTGGGTTAGGATTAGGTTGTATCCTCAAGCTCTGGGAACCCTAGGGAGAACCAGAAATGCTGGGTGGTCCCTACGGTACACATGCATGCACGCGCGCACACATGCACACACACACACACACACACACACACACACACACACACACACCGGAGCCAGGACTGTGCCTGGGTGATTGGGATGGACGTAGAAAGACCATGTTTGCCAGAGGCAGCTGGTGCCTATCTCCTTGCTGCCTGAGCACTGCTTTTAGAGATGCTGGTTGTCTCCTTATCTCGGCCATATACGCAGGAGTTCTGGGCGCCGAGCTGAGCACCGCGGTCTTAGAGTCCTGGCAGGATGATCCCAGGTCTCTGCAGCCCCTCGTCTCAGACCCAGCCTCCCCGCTTCCCCAGCAGCAGTGCAGCTCTCCAGTGCAGTTGCTGTCTCTTAAGCACTGTGTTATCAGGGTTTTTTGCTTATTTGGAAAACACTTTCTTGATTTTAAACATAGTTTCTGATTATAAAGGGAATGTAGGATTCATTATAAAGTATTTATTATAGAATATTTGAAAATTGCTTTTTAAAAAAGTCAGAGAAGAAATCACATATTATATTCTTGCCATCTACAATTCAGTATATCCATTTTTCCTGAGCCTGCTTTGAAAGACATTTGAGATATTACTGGGTAAATATTTTATATCTTGTTTAATCTTAAATTATAAGTGCAACACAAGTTTGATTGAAACTCTACAGATGCATGTAGAAAGTGAAAGGGCTTCTGTTCTCTTCCCCAGTCTTTCACTTTCTACTCAGGGTCTTGGGGAGCAGCTGGCACCCACAGTCTGACAGATATCTATCTGTACATACATGTATGCATCTTGTATTCTACTTAAAACAAATGGTCATATCTCATACTATTTGATATGTTATTTTTAAAATTGATTAGCAGATGTTAATAGTACACAGTGGTTATGTGTATCGTGGAGAGGTGGCATAGAACGGTGCATGATGGGGAAGGGTGGATGAAACAAGACTAGCCACAGGTCCATAGTGGTCAGAGTCAGTATTCTTCCTCTCTACTTATACATGTGCTTAAACTTCATAGTTATAGAAAGATAAGAGAGACTTCAGTGCTGGGAAATGGGTACAATCACTCTTTTTATCTCAGCAACATTCTCTTTAACAATAACTTAGAAATCTTTTCCTATCTGTGAGATCCCAAGGAGATTATATCTTTATTTTTCTTACTCTTTTTTTCTATATATATGTTTATTTCAAGCATCAAAAATCTATTCATCTTAGTGTCTAATGACCCAAGATTCAAGGTTTAGCTGTCTCTCTACTAGAAGTCATTGGGATTCTCCCCAGCTTTCTGCCTGAACTGTGGCCAGCACCTGACCCCTGCCACTTCTTGCTGAGTAGCCTGCAGAGCCAAGTGCAGTGACCTGGTAGGAGCATAAGCTAATGCTTTGCTGGGAGAGACCCTCAGCACCTCTTGCCGTAGGGTTATTGGGAGGCCCTGGGGGTTACAGACAGCTTTGTTGTCATAGAGCTTCTTAGTGAATATGGCTGATGGATTACAGAGCTATTTGCCACAAGTTTGGGCTCAGCCTCAGCCCCCCATGCCAGCACCAGGCAGCCAATACCAGTTGCACTGTTAGACAAGATGAAACCTGCCTGCTATGCTTGGATAAGAAGAGCCCATTTCCCTCATCCAGAGGGATTTGTGTCTTACAGCCACAGCCACAAGACCAGCATCTACCAACTCCTCAGCCATGGGGGTGGATTTGCCATCAAGCCTGAAAGAAAAGGCCAAGGTAAGTGGGACTATTTTCCAATCTCTTGCACTTAAGAACTCAAGTGCCCCTTAGGGAGACAGTCTTCTGTATCAGCAAAAGTATATCCATCCTGACTCAGTCCTAACCCATGTCACCAACTGTGTGATCTCAGTGAATCCCTCAGGTTCCTTTTCTGTAAGATGCAGGTGATGCTGCTGTAGTAGACCACTGGGTAGCAGTGCACCTGTACAGGGCAGCTTTGTATTCCTCCCTTTTGCTGCTCTTAGCTGTACCCCAAGGAGCTCTTTGCTAGTCTCAGTAGGTCCCATGCACTGCCCCAGCCAGTTGAGGCACCATGGTGAACAGCACGCCTGTATTTCTTGAACTCTGGTGGCATTGCATAAATCAGAAAGTACCTAGAAAATAAAGGTATTTTGTGGTAACCCATAAAACACTGTTACAGACCTATAAAACATTATGTACCTGAAACTAGAACATTGGCAATCATGTGTAAAAGTAATCATGAATGAATGATAGTACCCACAACTAACTACTGTGTCCCACTTAACAGATACAGTGCAGTTCTCATAGTACCTCCAGGAGAGCAGTTTGCCCAAACTTGCCTGGGTAGGAAGCAGCAGTGGGGGTTCCAGTAGGAGTGGGCTGTGCATCTTGCTCAATCAGGAGTACCTGCTACTCTTTATATTGTGCAGGCAAAGACCAGGAATGCCAGCAAGACAGTGAACTCTGTACCACACCTTGCCTCGGGAAAGTCACCCAAAAAGTCAGCAGGGCCCTCAGGAAGTATCATCTTGGTCTCAGAAACTGAAGAAGAGGGCAGCATCCGGGCTGTTGGAACCACAGCCAAGCCTGGTAAGAAGCTCCCACCTTAGGAGCTAAGCCAAAGTTATACTTTGTTAAGCTCGGGAACATTCTGGAACTCAAAAGTATGCCTCCATGACAGCAAAGCTCTGTACCTCCCCCAGGTGAGGGAGGGCCAGCTGCAGGGACACCACGGCGGTTTTTCAGAGGGTGTCTGAGAAGCTTGGTGGTTGTTGGAATATGTGAGGACCACTGTTATGGCTTAGAAACAAAACAAAAAGATCTGGATCTCACTATGCAGTTCAAGCTGGCGTTCAACTCACTTTGTAGTTCAGGCTGACCTTGAACTCCCAGCAGGACTCCTGCCTCAGCTTCATGAGTGCTAGGATGACAAATATGTGCCACTCTGCCTGGCCTATGAGTTCATTTCTTGTGTAGAATATGTGTTTGCCCAACTGCTTCTGTGGACCAGTTGGTGAATAGAGAGTTTGTAAAGTGTCATGTGGGGCCGGGGAGATGGCTCAGTAGAATAAGCACTCCCCTGGCAAGCACAAGGGCCTGAGTTCAATCCCCGGTTCTGCCAGAAAAGTGTCAGGTTTAAAAAAAAAAAAGCGTCAGGTGCTGGTGTGTTTCCGGAGTATTATCCATGGGAAGCAGTTACTTAACACTTGATATAACGGGTAGCTGGCCCTGGAGAGGGGCTAGGGAAGGTGTACCTCAGTCCCTTGTGTCTACCTTCAGGGACCATGTCAGCAGGCCAGGCCGACCACTCCAGCAAGGATACCTCCAGCTCCAGCGATGAAACAGATGTGGAGGTAATGATCACCTATCCTCAAGAGTGACTTTCTCCAAGCCTGTCACTCTGAAACCCTGGTGGGATTCGGATACCAGTGGGCCCAGATTCACGCAGCAGCTTTGCCAAGAGCTGGAAAGGGTGTGATCACTCAAGGGGGGAGGGGAGGGGAGAGAGGAGACGTCCTATGCTCCTCAGAAGGGCCAGGGTTGTGGAGGGACACAGGACAAGGCTTCCTGGGAGAGGTGGCATAGAGAACAGTAGAGGATGAGAGGATAGCCCAAAGGAGTTCTAGGAGCAAAGGCCTGGACAGAGGTGTAGCTATCATGTGTGGCCAGGATGAGACTGCTGAGTAGATTCTGGGCCCACGGGTGCATGGCAGTCTAGGTAGCAGGCCAAGACTGGCCAGGCCTCTCAGTGTGTGGCCTTGTCTTTGAATTTCGACCTGGGAGAAGCCCCACAAGTCATACCTTATGTATCTACTAAGAGCCAGACCTTGGGAAAATATTGCCGTCCTCTGTGGGGAAAAGAGGGATCTCTTAGATACTTTAAACTAGAACAGTGGGGAGCCATACGGGATAGCAGTAAGACCCCCAACTCTTGATACAGAAACATTGTGTGTGTGTGTGTGTGTGTACAATACATATTTTGTATAATTACATATATAATTATATATATAATTTTTATATACTTAGTACAGGGCCTACAGGGTCTTACTACACAGATTGGACTCATAGTGATCCTCCTGTTTTCAGCCTCCCAAGTGCAGGGATTACTGGCGTGCACCACCTCTCCCAGTCTCAGTCACCTGGGCACGTCCCTGTGTTGCAGCTGGCATGAGATGCCGGGGATCAAACCCAGTCTCTGCATCTGCCTAAGCAAGTGCTTTAATCCGCTGAGCTATCTGGCCCACCCAGTTTATATTTTCAAGGAACCAAAGATCTGCAGTTGTGTGGGTGAGAGGGGAAATGATACAAGATGGGGTCACAAGTGCACAGGCTAAGTGTCCTAGAGGACTGCCATACAAGTTTGAGTTTTGTTCTACAGGCGGTGTGGAGCCACGCAGGGTGTTAGGCACATGTTTTGCAGAGATGATTGACAGTGGCCTGGATTGAAGGGCAGTGCAGACAGAATAAACAGACCAGTTGAGGGAGAGATGTGCATTGAGGTACTAGTGGCAGAAAGTGCAGACAAGGGGCTGGTGAGATGGCTCAGTGGTCTAAAGCACCTACTTAGAACAAGCTTGGCAAAGCATCAGGGACCACGGTTCAATCCCCAGCACCACATGCCAGCCAGCACCGCCCCCTGGTGGGCTGAGCTGGCTACACACACACACACACACACACACAAACACACAAAAAAAAAAAAAAAAAAAAAAAAAAAAAGAAAGAAAGTGCAGACAAGAGGTGGGCACAGTGTCCTGTGCAAAAACTCTCAGAGCCCACCCAGTAACCTGGTAAAAGTTGAGACCACCCACATCTATCCCAGGCCTCACCATGGGCTGCTCCCCACCTTCTATCCTTACCTTTGGACCTAAAATATTGCCAGCGATGGGGCACCTGGCACCCATCTCCACAGGCCTTGCCAAAGAGAAGGGGACCACTTGCACCACTTGGAAACCAGTGTTAGAAACAGCTTAGGTAGCAAAGAGGAGGGCTAGGTGAGGGCAGTACCCTGGGTCTGCTGGGTCCGACGGACCACAGAGAAGAGGCAGGGCACAGACTGACCGCTTTGGGAATGTGGATTTAGAAGTCAAAGGGAAGGCTTTGCATGGTAGCACATGCCTGTAATCCCAGCACTCAGGAGGCAGAGGCAAAACTGCGGGGAGTTCAAAGCCATCCTGAACTGCATAGTGAAACCACATCTCAAAAAGACAAAAAATAAGGTCAGAGGGAGAGCTTACAGAAGAAAGGAGTCTTCCTGTGGTGCCTCAGGAAGCCAGTTGTGGACTAGACTGCTAACCTTGAGATGGCCACCATGGTCAGCCTCTTCAGTTGCAGGGGCAAAAACAAGTGCTGTGGACTGAGGCTGAATGTCTCAGACCAGCCTGTGTGCCCTGTGGGAGCTGAGCATGGTATCTGAGAGTTCTGCCTCCCAAGCCAGAGACCAGGAGCTCAAGCCAGGGCTTCTCTGTTGACCTGAGAGATTTGTTCCTCTTTAGAAAATAAATAATATAAATAGTATCTCAGAGTGTTTGAAAATTAAATGTTGTCAGGGAAGGGCTGTAAACTGAAGCGCCTTCTACACCTGAGGGAATTGGCTATTATTCATTTTCTGATTTCCTCCCCTTGTTCCATGTGAAGGCAGCCCAGATCAGACCCTCACCTGCCTCCACCAAGGAGTCTCCAGCAAGGAAGGCAGCCCCAAGCCCTGGGAAAGTTGGGGGGGTGACACCCCAGGCCCTCACCCCAGCTGGGAGTACCATGAAACCAAAAGAGGAGTCAGAGAGCAGCAGGGAGTCCGAGAGTGAGGAGGAGCCTCCCACAGGGACCTCCAGCCAGGTGAGCCACCTTTCCAAGGCCTGGATGCCACTGTGTAATGAGCACCTCTACTAGAGAGGCCACCCTGGAGCTTGATGAGAGATAGGAGACCGATGTGTACGTTGAGAGGAAGGACCCTGAGCTGCTGGCTGCAGCGCCTGTGGGCCTTGTCCTTTAGGCTCTTGCAGCAGCCTAGAACGGCGAGTTCCCAGGTGGTGGGTTCTACATCCCAATCTGTCGTGACCATTTCAGTTGCCTTAGTGTCTCTATCTAGTAAAAGGGCTGCTGTCCTTGTCCCAGCTGGCCCGTGGGAGGACTTTAGTTTTAATTGTCTGGTCCTCTGGCTTCTCAGACTACCAGACTCTGAGCAGGCAAACACCGTGGCAGCTAAAGGAGTCACCACTGGATATGGTGGTGGATACCTGTGATCCCCATTGAAGGAATCTTTGTCTTCCTCTGTGTGCTGATCCCTTCCCCTGGGGGAGCAGCCAGACCTGTGGCCCCCAAGGCCCTGGGTACTTCCTAGGGCAAAGCATAAGGCCTCAAAAGCTGTTGGCATGGGGACAGGGAAGAGTACGAGTGAGGAAGAATGGGCACAGGATGGGCAGAGGAGGCCCAGAAGGTGACCTCGCAGAGAAGAAGGGAGCTCTGGGGCCTCCTCGGGAATGTCACCCAGCAGAGGGCACAGCAGGCTCCCTGAGGAAGGAGCAAGGTGAGAACTGTGACATTCCAAGAGTCTAGCCCCGGCCACCAGCTGCCCAGTCCAGAGTGCTTGCTGTGTGTTGAATATTGTGAGGCATCCACTTTCCAGGAGCTCAGTTGTGAACTTAGACTGAAAATCTTCATTCTCCTTATTGGTTCAAAAATTTGAGAGTTGGCAATGTAGCTAAGTGATAGAGCTCTTGCTTTGCATGCATAAGGCCCTGGGTTCAATTCTCAGCACTACCAAAAAAAAAAAGAAAATAAACATTGAAAAGGAGTAGGCCATGCAAAGTCTGTGTGGAGTCCTGGCCCCTGAACACAGGAAGGTTCTTGGAAGATCTTAGAGCTGCCCAATTTCCTGGGAATGCCGGTTCAGGGATGAGTAACCAGAGCTTTTCTGAGAATACGGGGCCTCTAGCACCTCTGCCAAAGCCTCAAGGCCTACAGAGCCTGAGAGCACAGGGAAGAAGAGCCTTAGAGGGCATTGGCTAGGTGCTTCAGCAGGAGGGGTTTTCAGGAGTAAATCCCTCTGGTGAGGGATTTATGAGGGAGGAAAGTAGACTCCCCTTTCTTTCTTTAGGTGAAGGCATCTGAGAAAATCCTCCAGGGGAGAGCTGCCTTAGCCTGTGCCAAGGGGACCCCTGGGAAAGAGGTCATACCAGTACCCCCCAGGAAAGGAACTGCATGTGCACTCCCTGTGAAGGCAGGGCCCATAACCGAGCAAGCCAAGCTGAGGAGGCCCGAGCAGGACTCAGAGAACAGCAGCGAAGAGGAATCTGACAGTGAGGTGGAAACACCCGTGGCTGTGCCAGTGCTTCAGGTGAGTCTTGGAGCAAGATCTTAGCCACATGAGCCCTGCAGCCTTCTCACTGTGGGATGTTGTTGGCCCAATTGGGTCTGCATCTTCACACCCATCTTCTGCTCCCCTCTGTCCCTCTTTCACTCTAGGCAAATCCCAAAGGAAAGACCCCTCAGGTCAGAACTGCCCCAGCCCTCGCCAAGCAGTCCTCCAGGAAGGGCACCCCTCCAGCACTCCCTGGGAAGACAGGGCCTGCAGCCACCCAGGCCCAGGTAGGGAAGCAGGAGGAGGACTCAGACAGCAGCAGCAGCAGCGAGGAGTCAGACAGTGATGGGGAGACACCAGCACCCCGGACACCAAACACAAACCCCACCCAGGTGAGGCTGCACACCACCGCTCCCTATCTGGAAAGGCCTCCTGTAGCCTGTCCCTCCCCCCACATACCACCCCCTATCTTGCCTTTGTCACTGCCAGCTGAAGCCCTTGGAAAAGACTCCTCAGGTCAGAGCTGCCTCAGCCCCTGCCAAGGAGTCCCCCAGGAAAGGCACCTCTCCAGCACCCCCTGGGAAGACGGGGCCTGTAGCCACCCAGGCCCACATGGAGAAGCAGGAGGAGGACTCAGACAGCAGTGAGGAGTTGGACAGTGACGGGGAGACACCAGCACCCCGGGTCCCAACCACAAACCCCACAAAGGTGAGGCCAGAGACCACTGTTCCTGTCTAGAAAGGCCTCCTGTGGACCTGTTCCTCCCCCCACTCCCAACTTGCCCTTTGTCACTACCAGGAAAAGCCCTTGGGGAAAAGCCCATAGGTCAGACCTGCCTCCACTGTGGTGCTATCCAGGAAGGGAACCAGCCCTGTCTTACCCAGGAAGGCAGGGCCAACAGAAGCACTCAGAGAGCAGCAAGGAGGCACGCTTAGCAGTGACCTGGCTCATGTGAGCCTCTCCCAGCAAGGGTCTTCCCTTACCACAGGAGCTTCACATGGTCTGCTGGCCCCTGCACTGCCCACTGCTCTCTGTTTGCCATGTTGGTCTTTGTCTCTGTACACATGTCCCTTAGAGCTCCCTTTCCTAATCCTGTGTATCTCATTTCAGGCAAAGCCCTTGGGGAAGAACCTCCAGGTCAGACCTGCCTCAGGTCCCACCCAGGGGCCACTGGGGAAAAAAGCTGCCCCTAAACCACCTCACAAGGCAGCACCTGTGGCCATTCAGGTCAGTGCTGAAAGGTCCCAGGAAGACTCAGACAGCAGCGAGGAATCATCTGACAGTGGGGAGGAGACACCAGCAGCTGTGACTACAGCTCAGGTGAGACCTGGAGAGGAGTCCTGTGGCCGCTGACGTGGAGTTGGTCTCCTCGGTCAGGTGCGGGTTCTGCCTGGTGGGAATCACAGCATCTGGGCTCCTCCTTGAACAGATGAGCACTCTGGATCCAGAAGCCTTTCCCAGCCTCGGTCTTCATTGTCCTCACAGGCAAAACCAGGTCTGAAAATGCCTCAGACCAAGGCTTCCCTCAGAAAAGGCACCCTCCTCACCCCCACATCTGCCAAGGGCCCCCCAGCGCGAGTGGGCACCCCAGCCCCCTGGAAAGTAGGTACAGTGATTTCTACAAGAGACTCAGCTGTGCCTCAGGGCACCCAAAGGCCAGAGAGTGATTCTTCAAGCAGTGAGAAGGAATCAGAGGGTGAAGAGACCATGCCTGTAGCAGCAGTGGCACAGGTAAGGCTGTGTCTGCCTGCCCATCCTCAGGGTTGGCCCCATAGACTCTGGGCTCCTGTGAAACGCTTCTCTCTCACTGATCATCGCAGACAAAGTCTCTGGGGAAAGGCCTACAACAGCAAGCTGCCTCAGCACCCACCAAGGGGCCCTCAGGGCAAGGGGCCACCCCAGTTCCTCCTGGGAAGACAAGGCCCACTGTTGCACATGTTGGAGCTGAGGCTCCTGAAAGGTCTGAGAGCAGTGAGGAGGACTCTGACGACAGTGAGGCAGCAGCAGTCCTGACCCCATCACAGGTGAGACCTAGGAGGCACCAGCCCAGGCAACCCCCCTGGGGCTAAGTCAGGAGCCTCCTGTGAGCCTCCTTCCCCATTTTTCCGGTGCATCTCCTCTGCCCAGCAGCGCTCCGGGGTCTCCTTCATGATCCTGGACACTCCCATAGATTCTGGTGCTTTCCATAGACCCTACTGTATAGCTGCTCTCCTGGGGCTGCCTGGCTAGGGGCCACAGGTCCTGACCTTTGCATGGGTCCCCATAAAGGGCTGTGGACATGTGCACAATTTTTTGCAGCAGGGATGGGCAGTAGAGCATGTGCCAGGAAGGCAAGATGGAGTCACAACTTAGGGGTGTTCAGGAGAATGGCATCAAAGCCAAGGACTGAGCGACACATGGTGAAGTGGAAAGTAAAGTGCAAAGGCTGGGAGGAGGACACTTGGTTTGTTTGACATGTCTGGTGGGGTCACACCTCATTGGGAAGGGAAAGTGACAGCAGTCTTGAGCCGGACTATCCCAGCTCCACATCCTAGCGGGCGATGCATTCTAGGTACTCTGGTGTGTTGGAAATCAGTGCTCTCTCAGGATCTCACCTGTCACCTCCAGCAAGGCCTGCACCTGGGGAACTTTCTTGTCACCTAAGGGTGTGCCAAGCTCATAGAGCAGAAGCGGGAGTCAAGCCTCCCAGCCCAGAAGAACAGCGAGAAGTGAAGATAGCGTACTGCCTACACTCATCCGCCCCCTGTTGATTATTTTTAATTGTTGCTCTTGTTTTTTTTTTTTTTTTTCAATAACCACTCAGAAATTAGTTGTTTATTTTTTTTCCTGTACCAGAGTGCACATTTCTGGAGATTTTGTGGGTTTTGGGGTTGTTTTTTTTTTGTGTGTGTGTGTGTGTTTTAGGGAAGGGTCTACAGGGTGTTCAGGGTCTCACTACTAGATTGGACTTGTAGTGATGGGCCTGTTTACTGCCTCCCAAGAGCTGAGTTTCCAAGCGTGCGTGCCACTACCCCCAGTCTCATTTGCCTCTCAGCGTGCCCTGGGGGTGGGGCCGGTGCTGCAGGCCCAGGGATTGAACCCCTGGCCCCTGTGCCTGCTTGCAGGCTCTTTAACCCACTGAACTATTTGGCTGGCCCTCTGGAGGGCTTTTTGTCCACTTCTTGTTGACTTCTGACTCCTAAGGTTGCAGATTCCTATAGCGAGGTTCTAGACTGCCTGTCCTCCCCACTCAGCCCAGCAGGCTCCTCTCCTGTGTCTGGCTGCAGCCACACATCCCACACCCAGGGCCTCCCAGCTCTCACTGTGCAGATCACTTAACTCTATCTTCCCACCCGAGCCTCCCACCTGTACCATGCAGTAGGCGTTTTATTTTTGTTCTTTGAACCATAGGTTATTTAAAAGTGGGTTGTTTAATTTCCAAATATCTGGGATTACCCAGGTTTCTTCTGTTGTGGATTGCTCATTTAGTTTTCTGTGGTTGGAGATCTCATCTTTTGTATGACTTCAGTCCTTTTCTGTCTTAAGAATCATTAGGATAGGGTGGTCTTCATGGCTTATGTTTGGTCTTCTCACCTCTGTGCTATGCTGACAAGCCCGCTGCAGTAATAGCCTGCACTCGACTTTTTGCTTAGTCTTGTTCAAGGTGGAAGGAATACTGGAAGTGAAGGTGTCTTCCAACACTGCCCAGATGACATCTCTGAGCAAGGCGAGGCCTTGAGTTGCTGCCAGATTGCCCACTCTGTTTCACGTGAGCAGGCCTTGTTCTCACCCCTGTCAAGGATCTCCTTCTGGAAATCCCTGTTTGTCACTCTCATGGCTCTAGATCTGCATTTGCCAGAGACCCCGACAGGCATTGTAGGACTCAGGATAATTGTTTTAAGATTCAGTTAAGCTGAAGAAGACTTGTAACAACAGTGCTTTCTTCTGTTTGGATCTGTTATGTTTGGTTCCTGGCTCCCACTTCTTGGACTAAGGTGGCAGCTCAATCTCTCTAGCTCAGCATTCCACCCAGCAGGGAGGAAAAAAAGGGCATATTTCATATTCCTTTTGTGGCGCTCAATTTATATTTCATTAGCCAGAATTTAATAACATGGTGACCTAGCCGAAAGGACACCTAGAAAAGTTTTTTTCTGAGATTCCTTATATTTAGCTAACACAAAAAAAGTACTTACTGTAGAGAGTTTGAATGTTTAACATGTGTCAGGCACTATGTTAAGCACTGAGTCTCCTGTTTAATCCTCATCATAGCTCTATAGATGGGTCTTGTCATTATCCCCATTTTCTAGAGGAGAAAACTTGAGTCATAGTAAGATGCAGTGATTTATTCCAATCACATGGCTGTTACATGGAGGAGCCAAATCCAAGCAGGCCTCTTGTTCTGGAACAGCAGTCTTGGCTCATTGCATTCCTGCATGTCCCCTTCTTTCCATAATTCCTTTCTCTCCTTCCAGGTGAAAGCCTCAGGCAAAACCCCTCAGGCCAAAGCCAGCCTAGCTTTCACCAAAGCATCTACAGTCAAAGGGGCAGCGTCAACTCCTGGGAAACTGGTCACTCCAGTTGCTAAAGGCAAACCAGGGCCCATGGCCAAGGCAAGTGGGGTCAGAAGCCGCAGAGTGTTGGAGATTAGGGGAGAAAGGAGCAACCAGCAGGCACCACAGCCTGGACCAGTGACTGGGGCGGCAGCCTCACTGTCACCGTGGTGGGGGCTTAGCCTAGAAGGAGCTGTGCTGTCTGCTTCCTCTCCCAATACCATCATCTCCCAATCCAGGGGAAGCCGCCAGTGAGAGCCCTCCAGAACAGTGCCATCTCAGCAAAGGGCCAGGCATCTGTGCCAGCTGTGGAGAAAGCAGTGACTGCAGCAGCCCATGCTGAGAAGGACTCAGAGAGCAGTGATGAGTCCTCCGAGAGTAAGGAGGAGGTGCCAACCCAGGTAGGCCCTGAACATGGCCAGGAGCAGCCCTGTGCTGTACCCTCTGCTGGGGTCTGCTTGTGTACTGAGGTCTCAGTCCTAACAGAGGCACAGCTCTGTTCACCCTGCTTCTCCATGCCTTCCCTCAGGCTTTCTCCTCACTCTCCCTCAAGGCAAAGCCCACAGGGAAGACCTCTCAGGTCAGAACTGCCCCAGCCCTCACCAAGCAGTCCCCCAGGAAGGGCACCCCTCCAGCACTCCCTGGGAAGACAGGGCCTGCAGCCACCCAGGCCCAGGTAGGGAAGCAGGAGGAGGACTCAGACAGCAGCAGCAGCAGCGAGGAGTCAGACAGTGATGGGGAGACACCAGCACCCCGGACACCAAACACAAACCCCACCCAGGTGAGGCTGCACACCACCGCTCCCTATCTGGAAAGGCCTCCTGTAGCCTGTCCCACCCCCCACATACCACCCCCTATCTTGCCTTTGTCACTGCCAGCTGAAGCCCTTGGAAAAGACTCCTCAGGTCAGAGCTGCCTCAGCCCCTGCCAAGGAGTCCCCCAGGAAAGGCACCTCTCCAGCACCCCCTCGGAAGACGGGGCCTGTAGCCACCCAGGCCCACATGGAGAAGCAGGAGGAAGACTCAGATAGCAGCAGCAGCGAGGAGTCAGACAGTGACGAGGAGATGCTGACAGCAGGGACTGCAACCCAGGTGAGACCTGCCAACCCTGCTAGCCACTGGCACACATTTAGTTGAAACTTGAATTGAAGTACAATGAGGAAGAAAGCAGATTTGGAACCTGGCTCAAGGATCCTTAGGTGAAGCCTGCTACAAACACCCCACCCCTAGGTGCTCCTTTAGGCAGATGCACCAATCCCATGGAACACACTGAGCCAGCCCATCCACATGGCTCTTGAAGCCAATCCTCATGCAAGAGTCATGAAGAGACTTGTTGAGGGGCTTATAATTTTTTTGCTTGAATCCCAGGAGCCATGAGGCCTGGGGAGGTCACATCCCTCATCTGGGCCTGGGACTTTACATAGGAAGGTACAGCCTGAGTGGGGGCCTGTCTAACTTTACTGCAGAGCCTGAGCTGGGGGCATGGGAGAGAAGGAATGAGAAACTGTCTGCAACAGTTTATTCTCTCAGAATGCACAGAATGCACAGGGACCAGGGCTGGCTATGTCCTGCAAAGAAATTTCAGGGTTTCAGACTTGAGTTAGTGCTCAGGCAAATGGTGGAAATGACTGACCCGGGGCTAGTGAGGAAACAACAACTAGCATTGAGCTTGGGTGTCAGAAGAGACAGCAGGAAGGTAGCAACTAGAGCAAATGAGGGGCGTCCCTGACAGTTGTCCACAAGGATGACCTTGTGGAAGTACATCCTTATAGCCAAATCTGTTTTGTAAAGGAACCAGGATGTCTCCCCAGCAGGCCACACTAGACCCCTTAGATTTCTGTTTTCCTGATGTGTAAAACAAGCACCAAGAACTAATTTAAATTCTCCTATCTTTAACCTCTGCCTTTGGTGCAAACTGTAGGACATGAAGGACACCTAGCCAGGTGACAAGAAGGCGTAGCAGCCTACAGAAGCCTTCTCCATGGCACCTACATTTAGCTAGGAGTGTTAGAGCCAGATCTAACTGGGGACCACTGACCACTTGTCACAGGCTGCTGTCTCCTCCCCTTCAGACCCCGGCCATCGGCACCAAGACCTAGCCTTTGGCTGGGTCTGAAATTATATCGTTCAGGTTCAGAGTCCATTCCAGAAAGCAGATGACAGGGGGGAGGCTTGTGTTTCTGGGGCTGTGAGATGTGCCAGGCCAGCGATGCCCACTCAGCTGTGGGTGCTCATTCAGGCCTTTTTCCTGCAGAAGAATATTACCTCAAAAATTGCTAAGAGCAACGCCCTAACCCCAGTTCCCCCAGAGAAGAACCCCAAAGGATCCTCGGAGAGCAGTGATGAAGAGCTGCCCTCCAGCCAGGTAGGCTACATCGTATTCCTGCAGACGCACAAGTGGGGAACTGGGCTGGGAAGAGAGCAGATCTTCCTGTAGGGAAAATCTCACCACCTTCAGACAGCACTGGACAGCTTCCCTCCTGTGGATACAGCTGGCTGAACAGGAAGCCCAGGAGGCAGCTGCAGAGTTAGTCCGAGAAGCTTTAGAGCCAGGTGGTGAGAAGTCACAGCCAGCTCCCTGCCAGTTCTGTGACCCCGGGCAAAGGCCTTTGACCCCTCTGAGGTTCTGTCACAGATGTGAGACAAGGCAGAGACGGTGCCCTGGGCACACACCCCTGCCTGAGCAGGAGGGCAGTCGTTCTGTTCCATTTAACAGGTTAGGAGTGAGACCTCTAGGGGCTGGGGAGATGGCTTAGTAAGGGCCTGAGTTCAATCCCCGGTTCCACAAAAGAAGTGAGACCTCTAGTGCTCATAAAGGAGCTGAGGAAAGGCACAAACACACCTGGCTGGCTCCCTGTGTCTCCTTGTTTCCTGTCTGGGACCAGGAGGCTTCCTGTGAGACTATAAGTTGTACAGGCCTGGCCCACATGTCTGTCTGTCCTGAGTACCTGTGACAGCTTTGCCTACTCTGCTGCACCCATCCCTTCCCAGAGCAACCTGGCAGGTGAAACAGTCCACCTCCTCTCTGACAGAGGCTCGAGGAACCAGCTGGGGTGCTTCTTGGGAGCAGACAGAACTGCCCAGTTCTCCCGAGCCCCACTACCAATTGCCCCAGCGTCTCCCTTCTATGTCATGGGCCATGTTCTTGACCATCCATCACATCTGGGTGAGGCTCTTCACACACCTCCAGTATTGGGGTACTTACTGCCTCTCTTTCCCCCCCCCCCCCCCGGAATCAGGGATTGAACTCAGGCTCTTGCGCTTGTCAGGCAAGCGCTTAATCTCCTGAGCCATCTCCCTGGCCCCTAACTGCCTCTCTTTTAAAGCAGGGATTACAACAATAAGGACGAGCAACTGCAGCTGATATTGATCCCTTCTGTGAGCCAGGCACTGTTAAGACTGGCATTTCCTTACTGTATTCAGTCCCCCCAAGTACACAGGAAGGAACCTTAGAGAAGTTGAAGGTCCTGCCCTGCCTCTAATCGCACACCATCCACCTCACCCGCTCCCTGGCAACTGCTCTCCTCGGCTTAGCCTTTGCCCTCTGGCTCACTGGAGACACACCCTTGAGGGCTCTGTCTTTCCAAGAGGGAAAGGCTGCTGGGCCTTGCTCTGTGGAGGTGGGCTGACATAATTAAAATTAACATTCTCCTTAAATCAAACCATTAAGTCGGTATGTTAGCCCCTGAAGATTCTGGCATTCCTGTTTAAAAAGCAGAAAGGAAAAATGTGGTGGTTAGTATATTACCCCAGGGGGACTTAGGGAACATGGGTGCAACACAGGAAGCTGTGGCCTCCGACCACCCGGGGGGCTTCAGCTCCTCGGTTCCCTGCTCTCTGGTTAGGGTCTCTGACATTGCTGGGTACTCCATCAAGCACATCTGTGTTGAAAGTGTTCCTTTTTTTTTCTTAGTAGCCCACCAGTAGGGCTAGGTGCTGGATGGCAAGTGGGGGACCAAGCCTCAGGCTTTGAGACGGGGAAATAGACTGGCTCCGTTTCCAGGCCCTCACTGTACCTCAGCCCTGTTGTATAAAGCATGGCCTGGGTGGCACCAAGTTAAGCAGAAAAGGAGTGCATGCAGATGGCTCGATTGGTTTGTTCGTGGTGTATGCGTATCACATGTTGTAAACCATAAACGTATGTAGTTTGTGCCTACCAATGAAAATTTTAGTTAAAAGTTGAAGTAGCCCTGTCCTTAAAGTTTCAGGTGAGTCAGAAAGAAAAAGAAACCCTGTACAAAACACAAGTTAGTACTGCAGTTCTAGAAGGAGCTCTTGCCTGGTCCCTGGAACTGGTTTGTTGGCCATGCTGAGGCCAGTTGCCCCCTCTGGATCCGGTCTTCTCATCCCCTGGGAAGAGCCTCTCCTGCTGTACAGCCCAGTGCCACATTCCCGAAGAGTAGAATCTCTGCATTTCCTGAGGTGGACTCTTACAGGGTCTGAAAACCCATCCCCATAAGGCATTTTTAGGTTTTCTCATAGTAGGATTGAACCTGGGGCTTCTTGTGTGAAAGGCAAGCATCTGGCATTGAGCTGCATCCCCACCCCTTTGACTTGCTTTAAATATGATAGACAGGGTCTCACTAAATTGCCCCAATAGCTTCCTACTCATGAGGCCCCACCCCCAGCCTCTGGAGTGGCTGGGACTACAGGTGTGTGCCATCGCACCCTGCTGTGCTCAGCTCCCTGGGACTCAGATGTCAACTAGAAAGAGCCCTGGGGCTCCCTCTGGGCCCCAGGTGCCTAGATGCTATTTGGAGGTATGGCCAAAGGCTCAGGCAGGGAAAGTTCCACTGCTTTGCTTCCATTCCACTTCTCCAACCAGCCCCCAAGTGGACCCTGCATGTGCTGTGCTTTGCCATTTTCCTTGAGTGAGCCCAGTGGGGGTTGTTGGTAGCCTTTCAACTAGTGGGAAATTGAGGCTTAGGAAACCTAGGAATGTGGCCACCTAGGGCAGTCCTGGGAACAAACAAGTCCCCCACGCCCTGTGGCAGCATAGCCTCCTTTTTTGAATGTTGCAGACCTGATTGTTGTGTTCCTGCCGTGTACAGCAGCACTGGGCTGTGGGGCCCCTGGGCCCCACCCCACCCTCTTCATCCGGGCCCTGCACCACCACCCTCCCACGGCCCAAGGCTGGGATAGGGTGGCGTGGGCAGGAGGAGCTAGGAGGAGGCTTTTGCTGCTGAGCTGCTTTTAACATCCCAAGACGCTATTGTTTGCCTCAGTGGGTTCGTTGCCTCTCTTGGTCCCCGACAATCTGTTCCTGTCTTCTCACATATATATAGATCCCCTCCCTCCGCAGCAAGCCTTCTCCCACTTTCCATCCTTCTCTTTTTCATCATGTGGGAAGGGAGGCTCTGGAAGTGGCAGATCAGAGCAGTGGCGGGGGAGGCTATTTGGCAGGGTAGGAAGGGCCTGAGCCCAGCAGACTTCCAGGGGGGCGGGGGCTTTTTGTTTCACTTTGACTTTACCTCTCACCATGACACCCCAGGAGATGCACAGGGTGTTGTGCCAGGCAGAGATTCTTCCCCAGACCTTCCTGCCACTGTCCCCTCCCTCTCCCTTCCACAGCATCAAGCAGCTCCTTCTGTCCCGAATCTCCCTTCTAGCCAGAGCAGGAATAGACCTTGAACTGGCTCTGACATTTCAGAACTGGGAAGCAGACATCACCAGCTCCCCTGCTTGTGGCTCATGCCTTCACTAGCCAAGGACTTTTGGAAGGAAATGGATGGAAGCAGAGTGCCCTGGTATGCTTTCAGGGAGCCGTAGTGTTAGGCCAGGCTGGCCAGTTCCAGGGTGCTGCTGCTGCTGCTGCTTCCTTGCATTTCCTCCAACTGTTCCTGGGAAGTGAGAAGCAGCCCTAGAGGAGGTAAATGGCCTCCCACCCTTCCCAGCCTCGGCGGCCCTGAGCAAGTGCACAGTGTGCGTACCCTCCATTCTCTTCCTAGCATCCCTGGTTTGAAGCTGCAGTGAGACCTGTTGTTTCATCAACCAGATTTCAGTGTGTAGTTTTAAATAATAAGGCTTTTCTTTTTTCCTTTTTCTTTTAAGCAGGACCATGATACAGTATCACATCTTAGAAACTGACCTACCAAGTAGTGTCCCTACTTCCCCATTTTTTCATGAATGGTACTTTTCATAGAGTCCAAATACAGACCCCACGAACTGCATTGAGTTGTTTGTTCTTTAATTCTTTTTTTTTTTTTTTTTCTGGAACTGGAGATTGAACTCAGGCCCTTGTGCTTGGCAGGGACGCGCTTATTCTACTGAGCTATCTTTCTGGCCGTAGCCCTTAATTCTTAAAGCTATTCCATCTTCCTTCCCTCTCCTCATTTTTTTCATGTAGTTCATGTGTTGATGAAACTAGGTCATTGGAGCTGGGGTCTGCGTCAGAGGCTCTGGGATGGGCAGCTAGATTTCACACACTTCCTGGCAATGGTGTGTCATGGCCCAGCCACTGGGATGCTTTTTAGAGCACCATCTCTGAAGTCAGCCTGAGGAAAGGAGGCTAAGGAGGACGTGCTGGTTCTGGCATGGCTTTCTGTAGTCTGTAGGGTGGACTCCCCTCTGTGCCCCTGTGGTCGCTATGCGAGGGAGGCAACACTGCCAACTTCAGGTTCACTGTGAGTGTCGCATGGGCCCCTGTGGCCCATGAGGTGCTGTACTGGGACATGGAGATGCGTGGGTAGCAGCAGCTAGGAGAGCTCCAACTCCCTCGCTGCCCCTGAGCTTCTTGGATCCTAATTTTGTACAGCCCTCCCCCACCCCCATCTTCCCTTCCCCTGGCCAAACCTTTAATCACTTGAGGGGATGTGTTTTGTTTTTGTTTTTCAAGGTGATTAAACCCCCTCTGATTTTTGTCGACCCTAATCGTAGTCCAGCTGGCCCGGCTGTGACCCCCGCACAAGTGCAGGCTGCAGGTACCCCAAGGAAGGCCCGGGCCTCCAGCAGCAGTGCTGGGAGCTCCTGCTCTGAGAGCGAGGATGAGGACGTGATCCCTGCCACACAGTCCTGCACACCTGGTGAGCACCGCTCTGTTGCATCTGACTACACAGCTACCGGCTGAGGACAGGGCTCTGGCCCCAGTTCTGTTAGCAAGTCATTGGTCAGGAGGGCTTGGGCCAGGTCTGTGGCCCTGTGCCATCACCCAATGAGGGGCTGGCTCAGACTTGTGATTCTGGGGGATGTTTCTAAGGCTTCTCTGTGCTGGCTGGCGGGGTGGGCAGAACAGATAGTAGCTAGGAACTGCAGACCAGGATGACTGGAGCGAATGGGCTGGGTCAGGGGGAGCTTCCCCTCCCTGCTGGCAGGTAAGCAGGGCCATTGCAGTGAAGGACTTTTCTGTCAGCAGAAGGCAGGCCAGATCTGGGGTGCCCTTGCTGTCTAAGAATGTGATTCCACCAATACCATCGGAAAATGGTTAATATTTCTATTATTGTACCCTTCAATAAGCAAATATTATCTGATACTGATGAGAAAGGTAGGTTAGCACAAAAGGAAAAATATGACCTGTAGCCCTGCTGCCTAAGTTGTTACTGCTAGCAGTCACACCTGCTAACTTGACCAGAGACTGCACCGAACAAGGTGCTCGGTCATCCTCAGGGTTTGCTGCAACGCTGGTGCAGTTTTGTCATCACTTCGCTACGCTGTGATTCCTGCTACCTACAAAGTAGCATGCTGTTCCTTCAGCCAGTTCTGCACCAGAGAAGGGGAAGAATCGTGTTTGGGGCTGTGAGAAGCAGCTGTGCAGCAAGCACTGATGGGAGGCCGGAGCCTGTGCAAATGCCCCACCTGCTTGTCCCAAGAGACCATTTAGGCTACAAGGAGTCTTTGACACAATGTTCTGTTGCGTTGCTCAGGAGTAGCATCTTGACCAGCTTAAGGAGAGTGAGTGGGGAGAAAGCCTGGGACCACAGCCACTTTGGGGCACTGAGCCTTGTCAAGTGACACAGTGACAATCTCTGGCTGGCAGGCTCAGGGAAGGAGCTGAACAAGCTCCTTACTCCGTGCGCCATAGGGTCTGTGGTAGGTCCCCAGGAAAGCGGGGCCACTGTCTTCTGTGCCCACATCCGCCCACATCTTTCATTTCAGCTGTTAAAACAGATGTGACTGTGCCCGCTGCCCCCACAAGGACAGCCGCCAGAGCCAGCACCAGTAAGGAGTCCACCCGGGCATCAGAAGGCAAGAAACAGGAAGCAGCAGTCTCTCAGGTACCTAGGACCAGGGAGGGCCATGCGGCCGGTGGGCAAAGGCCCCTGTGCTCATACTGCATCATGTGCCATAGGGTAGACATGGTGGCTTCCCAGCCTCCCAATCTCAGCATCATCAGGAAGTGTCCAGGCAGAACCAGCTTTGCTTCCAGAGTCCCCTGTCAACCTTTTCCAGCATAGTGGGCTTTTGTCATTTTTTTCCTCCGGTGGAGTGCCATAAACAAAAGTTGTCCTTTTTAATGGCTCAGAATGACTTTTAACATTCTTCTCAGCTTTCATCCTTTTCGGTGCATTGTTATTTGGCTCTTTCCTGAACTAAAAATTCAATGGGTAAGGTTCATGGTCGTAGTTGAGATGATAAAACTGGGCACCACTGAGTGCTGTGGTTGGCCAGGATCAGGCAAGACCAGAACCCAGGTTTCCTGGCTATCACACCCCCTCCTTCTGAGAGGACAAGAGAGAGCTGTGGTGCACTGGGGAGTTGGGCGTCACCAGCTAGGGCCAAAAGCTGCGAGGGGGAGGGGGACAGGTTGTGGGCACTGTACCCGAAGTCCTGCATCCATCAGCCGCTCAGCCAGCAGATGATGCTGAGCATCTGTCCGGCCCAGGTCCTGGGCTGTAGCAGGACCAAGGCAGGGAGGTCCTTGTCATTTCCATCATAGCAGGGAAATAGCTATTACACAAAAGAGCCAAATGGAAATGAAGTCCTTGCAAGTGTCAGGATCTCTGAAGGAAACAATATAATCCAGAGAATAATAGTGACCTGCTTTAGGAAGGATAGGCAGGGAAGATCTCCCCAAGGAGGGCAGGGGAGCCCCAACTTTGAGGACTCTCTGGAAAAGCATGTGGGTTAAGGAAAATCAGGAAAAGCTGGAGTTCTGGATCAGTAAGCAGTTGCAGGATCTTAGCAGGGCCACAGGAGCCTAGGTGCTCTCACGGAGGTTTATGATCAGGGCCCTCCTGGGTTCTCCGTCCGTAACCGCTAGTGGGCACAGGAAATAGTAGTGTACCCAGGGAGCCCCAAGAAAGTGCAATTGAATGGTGAGCTGCCTGAGTTCTTGGGCTGCTTCTCTCTGCCTTTGGCTGGAGCTGCTTCTGTGCTCTTTGTGAACAAGGCAATTTGTTCACAACCTGAAGCCTGGCACCCATCTCTATCCATATGGTAACGTCCCTTTGCCCCTCAGTCCCCAGCTGCAGCCCATGACGTGCCTTGTCAGGTTCTCTCTTATAATCCAGCCAGATGAGATCTAGCCAGGCATGACATAGATGGCACCTGAAAATGCAAGGGTCTCAGGGCTGCCTCTCACTGCTCACAGGTGACAAGGAAGAACCCAGCTTCCCTTCCACTGACTCAGGCTACCCTGAAGGTCCTGGCTCAGAAAGCTGGTGAGGCTCAGCTTTCAAGTGAGGTGAGCATGGGGAACTGGGGACCAGACCGGCCTGGCCTCAGTGACCTGGCGTGTGAGAAGGACAGCACATAAGAGCTGTGGGAAGGACCCGACGTGGCCCAGCGCGTGTGAAGTGCCCAGCCCTGCAGCTGTGCTCAGCAGGCAGCAGCCCTCCCCACCTGACCTTGCCCTCTTTCTTCTTTCACCACATCAGGCTGGCAGTGCTACAGGAACGCTACCTGTGACACGTCCCCAGAACACCCCTGTCCAGACCAGAGTGGCCAACACACTCAAACAAGGCAAGCCCCCTGAAGACCAGCAGAATACAGCCACTTCTTCGGGCCACCTTAAAGCCAAAGCCCCTAGAAGCTCAGATGACAGTGAGGACAGCAGTGACAACTCTTCAGGGAGTGAGGAGGATGCTAAGGGACCTCAGATGGCCAAGTCAGCCTCCAAGCTGGGTGAGGTTGCCAAGGGGACCAGCCCAGGGACGGGAGCAGAAAGAGGCAGAGGAGTGGGCTGTAGAGCCCTAGACCCTGGCCTCGGGATGCAGCTTGAGCTGAGGCCTTGACCACATCCTTCTTCACTGGGTTTCAGTTTGCCTACCTGTATGATTCTATGAGGAAGTGTGTCCAAATGATTTCAGAGATCTAACTCAGCTTTTGGACCATTGGCAGCTTTCTGGTGTCAGGCTTCCTGTGGTGACCCCCAAGTCCCAGGACTGTGATTTTTTTCCCCATAGGGAAAGCAAATAAGAAAAATAAATAAATGTGAATAAGTGTAAGTAGGGCCTCAGGGTTTGGAAGTGAGAGCAGTGGCGATCACCTATCTCACCTAGGGATGGTGCTGATGTGAGGAGCAATAAACAGCTTTGGGTGGGAAGTGGGGCACATATAGAAAGACCAAGGCATCTCAGCCCCTCCTGGGGGCTCTGCCCTGCCTGGCTGATGGGCTACTGGAGACACCCAACAGGATACTTCTTCTACAGCAGGTCCGCCCCTCTCCAAGAGGGAGACCTTGGTGGAGGAGACCACAGCAGAGTCCAGCGAGGATGAGGTGGTGGCACCCTCTCAGGTAACTTCGAGGGTAGGGTTTGGGGTATAGTGTTTGGCCCAGCCTTCCCTGAAGTAGAGGGACAGAGCCCCTCCTCTTCCTGGAGCCCTGGGAAAAGTCCTGCCTCCGGGCAGCAGGTGTGGCCTGGCCAGCAGAATAGAGCCCAGCCTGCCCGCCCCCCCCCCCCCCCCAGACCAGGTGTGGTACTAAGATCTCAGGAATTTGAAGCCAGCCTGGATTACATGGCAAGTTTAAAGGCAGCCTGACCTGCCTTGCAAGACCCTGTCTCAAAAAACAAAACGAAAGGAATAGAGCCCACTCTGTCTCCTGCCCTAAGTCCCCTCTCTGTATAGAACCACAGGTAGCCCTTGGGGCCTGCAGAGAAGTTTAACCTGAATTTTAGGTGGTACCCAGACAAAAACATCCTTAAGCCAGGCATGGTGCCACAAGCCTATAATCCTAGCATTTAGGGAATCTGAGGCAGGCATGTCACAAGTTCAAGTCCTACCTGGGCAACTTAGCAAGACCCTGTATCAAAGTAGAAATCAAAGGTAGTGGTGCAGATATAGCTCAGTGGTAGAGCCCACTGGGCTCAAGCCCACAGCATTGCAGAGTTAATCTCTACAGGGCAAAGCTAGTGATTTTCTATTTACATTATAATAAGAAGTTTCCTCTTTAAATGTGCCTATCTAAAATTTACATTATGGGGCTGGAGAGATGGCTCAGTGGTCTAAAGCACCTACTTGAAACAAGCTTGGCAAAGCACAGGGACCGCGGTTCGATCCCCAGCACCACATGCCAGCCAGACCCGACCCCTGGTGGGCTGAGCTGGCCACACACACAATAAATAAATGTAATAAATAAAAATAAATAAATATTTTTAAAAAATCACTTCAATTTAAAAAATAAATAAATAAAATAAAATAAAATAAAATTTACATTAATTAAAGTAATTCAAGAGGCATGTACCGGAGCAGGACACCCTTGTCCTCAGTGCCCAGCCTGTGTGTCCAGGACGGGTGTGCTTCCAGCATGCTTCTTGGCTGGGGGTGGGCTTACAGCCTCTTTCACTCTGGGCTTCTTCAGTCTCTCCTCTCAGGTTATGTGACCCCTGGGCTGGCCTCGGCCAATAACCAGGCTTCAAAAACTACTGCCAGGCAAGAATCAAATTCTGGAGTTTCCTCTGTTCCACCCACCAAAGACGGCCCAGCCAGCAAGCAAGCAGCAGACTCGAAGCACACAGGAGGCACCGCGTCCCTTAAACCAGGTCAGTCGTGGGCCCTTCTTCTGTTCCCGCCAGCATGGTCCGCGGTGCCCGCGCCCAAGGGCTGTGCTCCTCTTGAGTACAGATGAGAGCTCGTGCAGCTGCAGGGTGATGCCTGCCCAGAAAGTAGCCATGAGCTTTGTCTCTGTTGTCTTTTTCCCTGCAAATGGGTTTGTGGTGTGGAATGTACTCAAAGCACAATTCCGACTGACTCCAGATCAGAACCCTGTTTTGGGGAGTCGGCACCCTGGGGCTGCCTGGCTTCACTCTAAACCCAGACAAGTGCCTGGTTACCCTGTGCCTCTGCGTCCTACCCAAGTAAGGCAGCAGTGATGCCTTCTCTCATCCCAAGATGTCACACACAGTATAGTCACATGTCATTGGACAGAGGGCCTGGGGACACAGTCGGTCAGCATGTGGTATGGAGTGCTCTCCTGGGCTCCTCTTAAGGGTGGACACCTTTAGGAACAAATCGCTGAATCCCCCTGAGAGCCAACATCAGAGCCATGCACCCCGTGCTGGCCAGAACAGGACAAAGACCTGGCCTGGTCACCTGGGAAAGTAGAGTGTGAAGGGGCCCACCCTCGGGCTTTTAGCTGCAGCTTCCCTGTGCTGGGTTAGAAGTCATTGCTCACTTTCTTCCCCAGTATTCTCTTTGTGAGAGGCGGGTGCAACCAGGAGACATTTTAGTGGGGGCTGTGGAAGGTTTTTTTTTACACGTGTAGTCAGCACACAATTATCAAAGGCAAGCAGAGGCGTGGAAAATTCTAAACAAAGGCTTCACCAGAAGTCACTGGCAGGCAGTAAACTGCTTAGTCAGCCGCCATGTGCATTCCCAGCACACACAGTGCTCCTGCATGCTGCCTGGAGCCTGGGTTCATAGCGCATGAGCCAAGTATCTACAGGGACTTCACTGGTATCAGAACCCCACAGGTGATAATCCCCCAGCTAACTCATTCTACAAACAGGGAAAGTGGGTCTCACCGCAGTGACAGCTAGTTGGTGATAAAGTCAGATGCAGAATCCAGATCTCCCAACTCCAGAGTTCTGACCAGGCCATACCATCTCCCTCTTGTCTCACTTTGATCTTGTTGCTAGATTTCAGGTCCTTTCCCTAACATACTGTGGAGTTACTGTCCATCCCGAGCCCTAACCTGAGCAGAGGTTTTTGTGTGAGGAGACACAGAGCTCTAGGTTAGAAGTGAGATCCTGGTGTGAGGACAGTGGGAGCTCAGGAGAGCAGATGAGACAGTGACCACTGGGCCTGACCCTTCCCATCTGCACTGTTGTCAGAGGAGGTGGCCCCTCTCTCTCCACAGGTGGGAAAGAGCCTGCCTCAGGCCCCACACCTCAGAAGCCCCGGAAGCCCAAGAAGAAGGCCGTGAGCATTGAAGCCTCCCTGCAGGCGCTGCAGAGCAGCATCACTGAGCGCCTCCTGGGCCAATCCCAGCCCCTGAATGAGGCACAGGTCCAGGCCTCAGTGCTAAAGGTCCTAACTGAGCTGCTGGGGCAGGAAAGGCAGAAAGCCACAGATACCACCAGGGAGAGCAGCAAGAAGGGCCGGAAGCGGAAGCTGTCGGGAGACCAAGTGGCCTCCAGGGCTCCCAAGGGCAAGAAGAAGAAGCAGCTGGCCTCGAGGGAAGGCAAGGAGGGTGCTGCTTCCTCTGAAAAGGCCTCAAGGACTTCTAAGGGGAAATCAAAGAGAGACAAAGCAAGTGGTGACATCAAGGAGAAGGGTTCTCCTGGCTCCGGAGGGGCCAAGGTCAAGCCTGAAGGGGCACTTCTGAAGGTAGAAAGTGGAGATCAGAATGACCCAAAGAGCAAGAAAGAGAAGAAGAAATCCAGTAAGAGTAAGTGTCCTCACTTCCCCAGGCCCACAGTGAGAATGTTGGGCCACATGGGTGGCAGGGATCCTCAGCCTCCTAGGCTTATTCCTCCTTACTGTGGAGCATGGGAGAAGTAGATTCCAGAATGCTCGAACCACACCATGGCCTCTCCCAGAAGCCAGAGTACTGTCTCACTGGGTCCAGCAGCACATGCATTTCCACTTGAGGGCTCTGGAAGTTGAGCTGAGGTTCCAGCCTGACGTGGACAGGAAAGGTGTCCTCTGCCATGTGGCCCAAGTCAGCAGATCTTTGAACAACCCTCTTGTGCCAAGTCCTGGGCTGCAGAATGGGCCAGAAACCAGAGCCTTGGAGTCCTCCCAGGCCTCGTCTTCTGTGCTCAGTTGCCTCTTAGCAGCCCTTCCTGAACTCTGTGCTACTATCAACACAGTCCTTCTGTCTTCAGGCCAGCCCCATTCTCTAGGGGCCCCTTATCCCCATTTTCCTAGTGGAAAACAGGCTTAGAGAAAGAAAGGCTGGTCAGGATGACCAGGTTTTACTGGGTGGAGCCAGTCCTCGGAAGCACTGCCCACTTGTTGCCCAGGTGAATAAAGCCATGCATGCCTAATGACCTTACTGCCCTAGAACCAGAGAAGGGCTACCCTCATGGCAGGTCCTGTGCCATCCAGTCATGTCCAGACCTTTCCTGAGTTCCCACTTTGGTTTTTAAATAGATGTATGGAGTTTTTAAAGAGTTAATTTAGAGTCAGGGATATAGCCCATTGACCAGCATGCTGAGGCCCTGAGTTTGATACTCTGTACCATTAGAAAAAAAAAAATAGCCATGATGCATGTGGTCCATGGACATGAGGCCAGCCCCCAAAGGCCTGTTTTGTTTGCTTGGTGGAACCGGGGATTGAACTCAGGTCCTTGTGCTTGCCAGGAAAGCCCTTATTCTACTGAGCTATCTCCCTGTCCCCTGAAGGCCTGTTTTGATGACTCCCTATGAGGTAGAGAGTTGAGAATTGGCCCCAGGAGCTGAGCGGCTGTGCCCAGTGGGCCTCCAGGCACAACCCCGGCAAAGGGCTGATAGGAAGCATACTTTCTTCCCTCAGAAAAAAAAGACAAGGAAAAAAAGGAAAAGAAAGAAAAAAAGGCCTCAGCCAAAGACTGTGTTTCACCATTCCAGAAGAAAAAGAAAAAGGTAAGAGTGCATTCTTTTTTTTTTTTTTCTTGGCGGAACTGGGGATTGAACTCAGGCCCTTGCACTTGCCAGGGAAGCGCTTGTTCCACTGAGCCATCTCCCCGGCCCCCAAGAGTGCGTTCTTAAAGGATCTCAGGCCAGAAAAAGAAGCCAGGACAAGCCCTGGGGTGAATGATAGCCCTTACCACGCCTAGATTTTGTCTCTGTACCCTTTCCCATCTTCAGCTGCAAAAGGGGATCTCCTGAGTAAGAGCGTCCCGGGTGTGCCCCTCCCCCAGCCTCAGGAAGCCATAGTTGTAGCCCTGCCCTGTCAAAGGTAGAAGTGGGGCAGCTGGGGGAGGTAGGTGCAGGAAAGACTCTGAGGGGTGGGAAGACCCTGTAGGCTGGTGTAGACTCCAGATGAGAGGAAGCATTATCGAGACCGTTCACCCTGGCCAGCAGGGTGTCCCCACAGAAAGCTCCCACACCTGTCTAGAGAAAGCTGAGCAAGGCCCTTGGGCTCCTTCCAGGAGAGAACATAGGCACCACCCCATCCCCTGAGGTCCCAGTGCATCCCCCACATGTTCTGGGGGCTGCTGTGGCTCAGCAGTTAGGCAGCAGTAGTGGAGAGATGCAGGGACTTGACTTGTTTCTTTCCTCGTAGAAGAAGAAGGCAGAGCCGACGACAGTGTGAGGAGCCGGGGAACCAGGTGCAGGTAAGGCTTCCTGACCTGCTTGCTGTCCTTTCCTCCAGTGGCCCAGGGGGCTGGAAGGAAGGAGGGTGGGGAGAGAAGCAGCCTTCCCCAGGGTTGGGCTCTGTGGGGCCACGTCAGGAGCTGCAGCTTCAGAAGATCCAGAACAGCAGTGGCAGTCCCCAAGTCTAGTGTTGAGTGATCAGTCAGTGCCCTCCTCTCCCTGCCTCAGAGGGGCCAGGCTTTATTCTCCTTGGTAAAGAAAACGGTTCAAACTCACTGGCTGTTTCTTTCCTCCAGGATCTTATTAGTGGAATGGTGACCATCCCAGGCCTCAGCCCTCTCTCTGCCTTCCGTGGGTCAGGACTGAATTCTGAATTTGCCCTCCCTTCACAGAAGACAGCAGCGAGCCTGAGGATCCTGATGTGGCCAGGCAGTGGGCTCGTAGGGGCCAGTCACAGGGGCGTGGCTCTGCCCTGGGCCCTCAGCCCACCTTCCTTCGCCATGGGCACTTCATAGAGATGTGTGCAGTATATCTATTTTTTTAAGTGACCTGCCTCCCTCCTTCACCTCCAGCACACCCCAGGGCCTCAGACCTCCCACTCCTGTGCTCTGCAGGCACAGCTGTTGCGTGCCACATGGACTTCAGTTGATCCTGAGACTTTGTCCTCTCCTGAGAACTCAAAAATAAAGGAGTTAAAGGAAAGGCACCAGCTCCAGTGCATCTGGGCCGGGTGCTGTGCAGTGGCTACTTGGAAGGGGTAGTGAGCTGGTGCCTGGCAGCAAATGGGCAGTGCCTCAGCTTTCTCTCCTGGGACAAGCTTGGTACCCAGTGAGGAAGGTGTTGGGTTGCTGGGGCTGACTGGGCCGGACAGCTTCCTGGAGGAGGTGACAGCGAGCTCCTAGGAGCCAAGGGTTGCTCTTGGTGGTTTCTGGAGGCTGGAGTCGTTTATAAATCCCAGAGGAGAGAAATGGCAGGGACCCTAGAAGCCATGTTCAAGAGGCAGAGCTCTAGTGAGAGCAAGCTCTTGAGGGTGGTAGTGGAGAACAGGAGACACGCGGGGCACAGGAAAAACAATTGGGAGCGATGGTAAGGGCAGGATGGGTCAGAGGCTCATGGGGTACTACGTGATAGCTGCTTCCTCCTGGAGTCCACAGAGGCCAAGCAGAAGAACTGGGGCTGAGGTTATAGAGCCCCAGGTTGGCCCTTGGGGCCTGAGGCCACTCCCTCCCCTCCCACAAGTATGCTGGTCCAGAGGTGGCAGAGAAGGGGCCTCATTGTGCTGACCCACAAAAGTTTTTAAACTTCTAAAGTGGAGCAGTTTTACCAACATTCTTGATTTCTGGGTCCTCCAGCTTAAGTCAGCAAATCTGGTGGGCGTGAGGGGTGTAACCTCCTGACAGCAGCGGGCTGGAGCTGAGGATGGGCCGGAGGCCGGGCATGAGCTCAGGAAGCCCTCTGCAGCCCCCACTTCCTGTCCATTCTTGACACCAAGGCCCTGTGTCTGCTGCCATCTGTCATCACACTTGTGCTGTTCTTAGTATAGAAATGGAATTGGGGACATGGGAAAATGGAAGCTGGACCAAGATGAGACTGCTTAAAAAATTACAAAAGTCTATTTCTTAGAAGTAAAGAGTATTTGAGTGTGTGAAACATGGAACTAAATGTGTCTGTATCCAAAGACTGCAGCCCCGGCCCCACGGGCCTGTTTCTAGGCCCTTGGGCTGCATTCCTGCGCCCCAGCCAGATTTAGGGACTTCGTTGACCTCCTTGGAATAAATGAAGCATAGCCCAGCAGAAGATCCAGAAGCCAGCCAGTGTGTTCTACTTAACTCCTTTTATTCTTGCATAAAGCCATGGCCCCAAGAGCTGATGACAAGCATGGCTACACAGGGAACTGGGCTTGGTGGGAAGCAAGGAGGGGTTGTGGAATGAGGGGGCGGCTGGGTTTTTCCTTGGAGAGTGATGGAGAGGGCAGCCGATGTGTCCACCATAGGGTTTAGGAATGAGGTGTCCCTTTCCCTGTCTGTGAGTCTGGATCTCAGAGCCCAATAGTAGAGACTGCTGTGATATCAAATAGGGGATGCCTGGTTTGAGGCCCCCTTGGCCTTTGTGTTCGTGTGAGCAGATGGTGGGGTGGACAGCAGGGCCGTCCCACGTCCTTGTGTGCTGTTCTGATTGGATCTGTTGTCCAAGGATGACATGGGAAGCCAGGCCTCAGTGCCTTGTGGGATGAGAGACATTGGAAAGGTGAGCTTGGGGGATCCGAGGTCTGGGGAAAAGGAGAGGGGGAGAGGGTTGGCAGCGCAGGGAAGTGAGAAAGCTGCAGCCGCAGGGCTTGCAGAGCTGGCAAGGTGCTGGAGATGGTGCCTGCTGTCCTCATATGGTGACTGGAAAGAGAAGCAGCAGGTTGAGGTTGGAGTTGCATCATTGTGTTCCCCACCCCCTCCCAGCATCTTGGGGCCACAGAGCAGTCAGGGACTCTCCACCTGCCGCTGCCCCCTCCTCCCCGCCCTAGCCCCTTTCCTCATCTGTGAAAGGTCAGCCTAGGGGTGTTGGAGAATGACACAAGATGAGCTGCAGTAACCAGACACTGCTCAGGGAGCCCATACCTGGGCCTAGCTCCTGCTTGGTCACACCCAGCCCGGAAGACAGGTCCTCGGCCTCCAGAGGCTCTGTAAAGGAGCAGCAGATCTGTATTACCACGAACCGCACCCACTGGCCAAGTGCCTGGGGAAGGCATGCTCCCTGGCTGGCAAGATGGGACCTGCAGAGGCAGTGGCCAGAGCAGTGGTGCAGTGGGCCTCAGGGAGCTGGGATCTGCAGGACTCCAGGTGCATGAGGATAGTGTGCAGGTAGATGCATGGAGGTGAGGAGATGAATGCCCAGGTGGTGGGTAGGCAATGGGGCAGGTGCCTGGCTGACAGCAGCTGCCAAACTCAGCATCTCGGCCTCATGTGGCCAAGAGGGACCTATTACCCTCTGCCTTCCTAGTTTTGCCTGGTCTTTCCATATGGGGGCGTGCTCGCCCCTGCTTACCACTGCAGTTATGGTGCCCGTGGCTCCTGGTGTGAGGCACCTCAGTACCGTTGGGGAAGACGCACCAGCAGTAGCCGGTGCTCCCGTGGCACTGGAGCGGCATATAGTTGCCATTCTCATCACACTGGGGACGGAACGTGCCCGGATGGACAGCAGGGATGTGGCTGACCTCTTCCTGGCACTTGGACAGTACTAAAGGGACAGGCATGGTAGACAGTGAGTGAGTGGCCTAGTGCCACATGGCTTTACTCTTCCCAATGCAGAAAGAAAAACAGGCCTGCAGCCTGCACCAACAAGGAAGTACATGACTAGCTGATTCTCCCCAGGATAGGATTCTTCTGACACTCAAAGCCTGTTAAAGTTTGGAACTGCACGGATGGTTCTAATTTCCAAAGGAAAGCTGTAGGCCCCTGGGGCAGTCAGCTTCCTGTTGCTGGGACAGGAAGCACCCAGACAGAAACAGTTACCATTTGTTTGGGGGTGCTGTGGGGCCATTTTACACAGCCAGGAGTTGGTTAAGATAGCATCGTAGTCGCTTGGGTGGTTCAGTGGAGAAGCAAGCCAAGGGCAGGATGGGTCACTGACCCTACACGTTGGGACACTTGATTCCCAGAAGGAAGAGAATTGCCCAGCACTGCAATTTAGAGGCAGCACTGAACGAGAATGCAGACTCAGGCTTCAGCTCTGAAACCTGGTATACAGTGTCACAAGGTGGGAGATAGATGCCTGAGGCCCTCTGAGCTGGCACCGTCAAGGGCAGAGCCAGGAAGTCAGGACAGGGTCCCTTCTGGTTTGTTCTCTGGTGTTTCGCCCCAGGCTCTCTTCCAGTGTCCTCCAGGGAGAGCCAGCCTGTGATGGAGCCTCTGTCCCCCTCTCACTGCCACCCAGGCATTCACAATGGGAAGAACAGACCTGCAGCCAAAATAGAATGGGGACAGTGGAACCCAAAAGGAGCAGGCAGGAGTGGTAGGGTTGAGAGGAGCAGGGAATACTGGGGGCCCTGGCCTCAGCAGCTCCGTGACAGCCCTGCCTGCCGAGCACCCACTCAACTACCTTTGGGTGGCGCCTCAGTGGGTTTCTCCTCCAGAGAGTTCCTGCTCATTTCGAAAAGGAGCCAGTGGTGCATCCAGCTCTCAAAGACCTGGGGACAAAGGTGGGGCTCAGGCTCAGTACGCATCATCAAGCCACCCCCACCCCACCTCCCGCTTTGTGCCTGGAGAGAGAAATGTGGGGAGCCAGACTACCCTGCTGAGACCTGAAGTCCAGCTGCAGCCTGGTCCCCCTTAAGGCCCCCCAGGTGCTTTCCTAAGCTAAGCGTTCTTCAGTGTTCTGCCAGCAGGCTCACCAGTTTCCTGAGAATGGCACCCCTAGCCCTCACCTCCCACCCCTTTCCAGCCTGGCCCAGGATAGACATCACAGAACAGTCCAGTGCAGAGAAACCTGCTGACCTTCCAGTCCAGGCTTTCCATGGTGTTCTTGAGGTGTTTCAGATTCTCGAGGAAGCTTCCCTTCAACTGAGGGTACACTTTCAGAGGGTCAGACTTCTGCAGAGTGGCAGGGCAAGAAGGAAGTGTTAAGAAGAGCTCCTGAGCAGGCAAGGTGAATTGTGAAGCTGATGCCCAGTGGTCTTCCATTCTGAGGACTGAGCTGCACAAAACCTGGACATGGAGCTTGGGCCACGCAGCCTTAGCCACGGCCCCTGGGCTGGGTGAGGCTCATGGTGCAGAGCAGTTGTTCCTGCACCCCAGTCTTCCTACATACACTCATGTTCAGGTCCCTCCACCTCCAGGAAGACCTCTTTACCCACCCCAGGAGGCACCTGCATGTCCCTTGTCCCCTGATCTCCCACAGCAGCCTGGGGATCCCATGAGCTCAGTTACTGCACACTGTGGGAGAGCAGCCTTGCACAGTGCCCAGCATGGGACACACTTGCAGTAAAGATTTGGAAAGAAAAATGTATCTTAAGTCTCTAAGATTTCACCCTCGGTTTCTCCATCTCAAAAACATGGAGTCGGGGAGGCTGGACTCCACATAACACTGGAAGCCACTCTCAGGTTCCTTTTGGGGAGCATGTGACGAGTCACAAAGAGCCGGGCACGTGTGATCTGGGTCCACCTCCGTTCACCACACTCACCAGGAGTGTGTGCATCACGTGGTCCTGGGTTGTGTTGCCGTACTTGGTGGCATTCTGCATGGGCTGTGGGAAGAGGGAACAGAGAGATACCCATGGTGGCCTCAGAGGAGCAGCCCAAAGTGGGAGCAGCAGTTGGGCCCTGGGTAGGAGCCTAGTCCCCCATCTAAAGCAGGGCAGCCTCACCACCTCGAATGTGTCCCTGCACCCTCCTGCCCCAAGACCCTCACTGGTCACTGGGCATCAGCTTTTTTGCACAGGGCTTCACCAATAGCAGTTTTGTGAGTAGAAATAACTAAGATTCAATTATCAAGGAGGGGACTGCAAAGTGTGGGAACAATGAGAGGCACTGTGAACTGTCAGATTGGGTCGTCTTGCCCCACCGCCATGCAGCATCTCTTCTGGGTTTGGGTGCTGCTCCTCCCAGCTGTTATGACTCCCTTGCCAGCTGGCCCTTCTGGGTCAGCTGTCCCCTATGCAGGATAAACACCTCTCCCTCCCATGTACTGGGGCTGTCCTTACCCCCTGGAGCAGGCCTTCCATGGGCAGCGCCCGCATCAGCAGGGGTGTGGCCATCCGCATCTGGCTCACTGGCTTGGAAGCTGTGGGCAGGAGGTGCAGTGTGAGTGTGGTCCCAGGCACCTGGAGGAGGGCACTCAGGGAGACAGCAGCGGGGTAGGAATGGGGTCTCCGGGATGTGGGGGGAGACACGTACTCTTGGGCATCTTCATGCGCAAGTTCTCCAGCTGCAGGTTCTGTGAGGTGACTGTCAGCTTGTCCAGCCGGCCCTGTTGCTGGTACAGGAAGTAGGCAGTGGTGGCCTGGCCAGCCAGGAGCAGAGCGACCAGGACAGAAAACCCTGTGTACAGGGCTCCACGGCTGCATTTGCTGCAGGAAGAAGTGGGGAGTAGATCAGGGGAGAACTCAGAAAGCTGCCCAGTGTCTGCCTGGGGTCTCCACCTGCCCCCTAAGTGACCCCTCACAGACACATGCAAGTGAAGCCCATATAATAAGCTATAGTTTCTTTTTTTGGGGGGGTGTTTTTGTTTTTTGGTGCAGCCAGGCATTGAACTCAGGCCCCTGTGCTTGCCAGGCAAGCACTTATTCTACTGAGCCATCTCCCTGGCTCCTAAGCCATGGAAATATAGCTTGAAGCAACCCCACTCCTTCCAAGCACTGATGCCCCTAAACTGCCTAGTAGAAATCTTGGAGCAGCCCCTGGACAGAGTAAATGGGAAAGAGCCAGGGCACGGTTCCTTGTCTTCTCTGGAATTTGGGGTCCTACCTGTGTATTGACAGATCAAGGGGAAGGGTCTCCCCAATCCCCTTTGCCTTGGAGTCTTCCCAGGAGCAGGGTTGCCCTCAGGAGGAAACCACTAGGGTTTTTTGGTTTTTTTGGTTTTTTTTTAATGTTAACTTTTGATATTTATTTATTTATTTATTCATTTGTGTGTGTGTGTGTGTGTGTGTGTGTGTGGCCAGCTCAGCCCACCAGGGGGCAGGGCTGGCTGGCATGTGGTGCTGGGGGATTGAACCGCGGTCCCCGTGCTTTTTTGCTAAGCTTGTTCTAAGTAGGTGCTTTAGACCACTGAGCCATCTCACCAGCCCGGGTTTTTTGTTTTGTTTACTTTTTTTTTTTTTTTTTTTTTTTTGGCAGAACCAGGGATTGAACTCAGGCCCTTATGCTTGCCAGGGAAGCTCTTATTCCACTGAGCCATCTCCCCGGCTGCTATCTTCTTATTTTTAATGTATTTAGACAGGGTCTCACGACACAGATCAGACTTGTAGTGATCCTCCTGTTTTCAGCCTCCCAAGCGCTGGGATTATAGGCACATGCCCCTACACCCAGTCTCAGTTGCAGTGTCAGTGTGCCCAGGGGGCAGGGCCAGCACAGCATGCTAGGATAGAACCCCAGTCCCTGCACCTGCCTAAGCAGGCACTTTAGTCTGCAGAGCTATCTGGTCTTCCCTGGGTTTTTTTGTTTTGTTTGTTTTTTATTTCTTTATGTGGCATTGGGGATTGAACCTGGGGCCTTCACACTGAGCTATGTCCCCAGCTTTTCATTTTTATTTTCAGACAGGGTCTCACTAAATCATGAAATTGTCCAGGCTGGGTCCAAAATTGCAATCCCCCTGCCTCAGCCTCCTGGAGTGATGGGGATTACAGATGTGCCACCCAGCTTTATTTTGGGTTTTTGGTTTTTTTTTTTTAGATATGGTCTCAAGGCTGGCCTTGAGCTTGTATTTATCCTCCTATACTCAGCGTCCTGCGTGTTCATGCATGCACCACCACGCCTGACCTTATTTTTTCATTTATTTTTTGTATTTTAGGGAAGGGTCTACAGGGTGTTCAGGGTCTCACTAGTAGATTGGACTCCATAGTATCATCCTGTTTACAGCCTCCCAAGAACTGGGATTACAGGCATGCACTACCACGCCCAGTCTCAGCACACCCCCCAGGGGTGGGGCTGGCACGTTGGGCCCGGGGATCAAACCCCCGGCCCCTGTACTGCTTGCAGCTTATTTTGTTTTTTTTGTTTTTGGGTTTTTTTGGCGGAACCGGGGATTGAACTCAGGCCCTTACGCTTGCCAGGGAAGCGCTTATTCCACTGAGCCATCTCCCCGGCCCCATTATTTTGTTTTTTAATTGACAAAGTATGATGCATAAAGCTGGAAGTGCAAGTCTGTAATCCTATGACATGGGAAGCAGAGGCAGGAGGATTGCCAGTTTGAGATCAGCCTAGACTACCTATCGAGGTCCATCTCAAAAAACAGGACCTGCCTGGAAAGTACAAGGTCCTGAGCTTGACTATCTGTACAAAAAAAGGGAAAATATATTTACATTTACCCTGTAACCAAGAGGGGTTTTTTAATCCCCTTAGAAATTCCCCACCCCACAGGAAATTAGATTTAAGGAGAAAGGGGAAATAAATGGTACCAGGACAGGACAGCAGAGATTTGGACCCAGGTGAAAAGGAGAAGTGAGGTGTGGACGCTTTAAGAGTGGGGGTGGGGGGAGATGGTTCAGTGGAATAAGCACTTCACTGGCAAGCACAAGGGCCTGAGTTCAATCCCTGGTTCTGCAAAAAAATAAAAAGAGTGGGTGCGCGGGCTGATAAGATAGCTCAGGTGTCTGAAATGCCTGCTTAGGCAAAGTTTAGCAGGCATAGGGGACTGCCCTTGATCCCTGACACCACATACCATGCCAGACCCCCCTCAGGGTGGGCTGAGTCAGCCAAAAAAAAAAAAGAGTGGGTGGGGGCAGGGGCTGGGGGTTGATCCCTGGGCCTGCCATGTCGGCCCTGTCCCAGGGGCGTGCTGGCACACACCTGTAATCCCAGCACTGGCTGGGAAGGCTGAAAACAGGTAGATCACTATGAGTCTGAGCTGTGTAGAGAGACCCTGTAACAAATATCTATATATATAATATAGATACAGATATAGATATAGATAAATAAAAGTTCAGGTGTTGGCAATGTGATGATGCTGGGAGGTACAGAAATGAGGGGCCCTCATAAGAGTGCTTGTTCACTCCTACATGAGGACGTGTCAAGAAAGCCATCACCAGAACTACAGGGAATAAATCTCTGCTCATAAATTACCCAGTGTGTGGTATTCTGTTGTACCAGCACTAACAAAGACAGACCTGTTTGGGAACTGTCAGGGTGAGCCTGCACCCTGCTGTCCTTTGGTCAGCAAGGGAACCTCTAGGAGGCCCCTCTGCCTAGTACCTCCTGACATCACAATCATCACTTATTTTCATTGGCTGTCTGCTTGCCAGTCCTCTGTGCACTCGGGTAAGATCTAGCCCAAAGGAGTTATTTTAGAAGAAAAAACTAAAACTATAGGGAACGGGAGGCCAGATCCTGGAGAAAACAAATTTCACTTCTTGACCTTCCCAAGGAAGGACTGATGAGAGTTGTCCTGGTTCAAGCTCTCCGACTTCACTGTCTCTTATTTGAGAATCACACCCCTACCTACCCTTCTGCAATCCACACTCAGTTCTGGCGGGGCTCTGCCTCCCACCACAGGAGCACAGGGAGCCAGTGCCTTTCCTGCTGAATCTCAGATTCTGAGAAGCCCTTTGGATTGAGAGATTCATACTGAAGATGAGCCCGTGTAGCCTGGGCTGGAATCCTCACTCTGTCACTAGCTTAGCTCTGGGACCACAGGGAAGCCACTTAACCCCTGTGCAGAAGTAAAATTGGGCAAAAAGTCAACTCAAATGTCATTATATTAAATAAGAAAAGGGGGGAGGAGGAAAAAAAAAGGTGGGCTGGGGATATAGCTTAGATCACAGAGCTTGTCTAGCAAGTATAAGTTCCTGAGTTCGATTCCTGGTACCACCCTCACACCCTACCCCTGAAAAAAGAAGAAAGGGTAAAGCTTTTGGTTCCCTACCTAGCACATCCGCTAGCACTCTGTAAATAAATAACTACTGTTCTCTAGGGAGATAACAGTTAACTTTAGCATCTGACTTCCTTCTTCAGAACTCTTAAATGTTTGTCCCCTGGTTCTGGTAGAATGCCAGTTTTTACCACGCCCTTTTATTTCCTCTTTTGCCCTACCACCTCACCTCGTGGAATTAAAAAAAAAAAGTTGGTCAAAGTCAAGAGCCAACCAGAACTATTAGAAAGTATGACACTGATGTTACTAGGCAGAAGTGTTCACAAGGTGCTCTGAATGAGTCTGGTCTGGAATGGCCCAAGCACATAGGACCAGGCCACTTTTAGAAACAGTAACTAGAGTGAAAAACAGACAAGGCTTTGACAAGGGAGCCCCTTCTCTCATCCAGCTGCCCCCTAAGACCTGCAAGTTTGGGTGGCTTGAACTCAGGAGGGTCCCACCCCCCCTCCCCACAAATCATGCTTCTAAAAGGGGGCCAGACTACAGAATGAGCTCAGATTAAAATCAGACTAGTTCTCGTTCAAATTCTATCTCCAACACTCATTACGTAGGACATCTTGGGTAAGTTACTTACCAGGATGAGCCCCAATTTCCTTTTGTGTAAAAATGGACCTAATAAATGCACTAAGTGTATAGGATGACCGTGACAATGAAGATGGGGTTTAGCCTTTAGTCCGATGTGTAGCAAATGGTAATAATAACGACTGAGGGCTGGTGGCAAGTGCACTCAGGATGGAACTATGGCCGTGGCTACAGGGACCCAGAGAGGAGCACTGATTGTATGTCCACACATGACAGTAGCGGAACTTGGGCCAGAATCCAGTCCTTGTGAGAAACTTAGTTCCCATTGCCAGGGGACGCTGGGCTTTCACAGGCCGCTGCTCTCATAGTTAGTCTCCCCTTGGTACCTCAACCTCTGGGACACATGTCACTTTCTCATTACATTTCTCAGTGACTCTCCCAAGCCCCTGTCTGCCTGGCAACAGCTGATGTCACACCTACCTGCAGATTTCCACAGACAGCAAAGGACTTTTTAGAGGATAGGGGAAGTGAAGGCTAAGAGCAGCCAGACTCTAACCCCTTCGGGGCCTTGGTGGGAGGAAACGTGTGGGTGAGGCTGTCTGGGGGCTGAGACAGGGCTGAGGTTCTTTGGATGGCTGTGTAGGCCTCTTGCTGCAAGGGAACAGGACACAGACAAGCCGAACCCACATCACCCTGTGCCCTCCTCCCTGCTCTGTGAGCTGCTGCTGCAATGGCCTGGGCGCACCTGCCAGTCTGACTCCCTTGAGTGGACACCTATGCCCACCCACAGCAACAGGGAAACTTCTCTGTGGAAAACTCCTACCATCCTCTTTTAGTCCTGTCATCCCCTTTTTGTTTTAGACAGCATCTCACTATGTAGTTCACGCTGGCCTCACTCTGTAGCCCAGGCTGGCCTGGAACTCAGGGCAGTCCTCCTGCCTCAACCTCCCCCACCACGCCTGGCCATCCCCTCTTTCTGAAATCTGTTTCTCCACTGAAATCCAGAATGTTTCCAAAACTAGTCCAAGTTTTCTAACCTAAGATTCATGTCCCAGCCTCAGTAGTGCTATAGAACCCCTGATACTGTATGAAAGTAGGAAGAGAGATGAGGGCTGTCTTCTGATTTGCACAAAGGGGCTGTAAACCCCTACTCTAAAGGGACCCTTCATTTTACAGGAGGAACCAAAACCAAGCACAGGCCAGAGACGCTTGGCATGCAGAAAGGCAGTGTCAGAGTCAGCCTCTATTAGCCTCCCTGGACTCTGGGACAGTGCTCCTTGGGGCCATACATACCCATCCTGGGGTCCGGGTCTCTGGCCCAGCATGGGCAGCTGCTCATGGTTGGAGATGAGGTCGCGCTGGTCTTCCATGGCTCTGGCCTCTGGTCTTCCCACAGTTCTGATGCTGTTGCTGCTGCTGCTGCCACCTCCCTTGTGTTTGGGACCCTGAGCCCTGGCTCGCCTCTTGAAGTTGGTGCTGGGGAGGAATCTGATTCGTCCACAGAGGCCACTCCGCCCACTTGGCAGATGTGGAAGTGAAAGCCACAAAGCTGGAAATACCCCACTCAGGCAAAGCTGCCTTTCACGGGCCAGATGAGGAAGGGGAGCTCCCGGGCAGGTAGAAAGGCCAGCGCAATCCATTGGTTGACTAGGGCCCGCATCACTTGTTTCTGGGCAGACCTTTGGATTCATAAGGCTCTAAACGTCTGTGGAAACTGGCTAATGTGGACTCCCTAGACAGGAAATCACTTTGAAGCAGAAATTGCCTTTGTCTCCCCTTCTCATCATATTAAAAGTGAATGAAAAAGGAGCTGTGTGTCCCCTGTGAGCTTAGTCAAGTCCTTTTCTCTGGTCGGTTATGTCCTCTTCAGATGGAGGAGGAAGGGTGGGCTTAGTGTCCCTTCTGCCCTCTGCTCCCTTCTGGGAGTCCACAGTGCTGAGGCTGTGGTACTAACATCTACCACCACTCGCCAAACCCATGAAATTCTTAATTTTGCAAATGGAACAGTGTCCTGTTTTCCTTCTTTTCCAGGCAGGGACACTATGGCTTAGAGAGACTGTGGTGCTTGAGGAGTCTGTGTGCTTGATCACTTGGCTGCTCTGCCTCTGAAAGCTTGAATTCTGTGGCTCAAACGCAGAACAGGCTGTGGTGGGAAGAGAGGCAAGAGGGGCTGGGAAAGGGTCCTGGGCACTCGAGTCAACTGTGTCAGCAAGGTTTCATTGTTTCACCTTATACACCGAAACATAATAAGAAAATATATAAGGGCCAGGGATGGTAGCACATGCCCGTAATTTAACACTCTCAGAGGCCAAAGCAGGAGAAGCACAAGTTTAAGTCTAGCCTGGGCAATTTAGGGACTTGATGAGACCCCACCCAAATATGAACAATAAAAAAGAGCTAAGGATGTGGCTCGGTGTGAAGGCCCTGGGTTTATCCCCCCAGTACCAAGGATATTAGGGAACCGAAAGGATAAGGAAAGGTTCCCTGAGTGAGCCAGCCCTGGAGAACAGACAGAGGGAAGGGCGCAAGCCTGTCCCAGGGGCCAGCCTAGAGAAGCCTTCCCAGTGAAGTATGAGCACTGGAGGAAATGCCTGAAGAGTCCACCATGGGGCTCCCCAGTGAAATGCGATCCATCGATCTGGCAACCCCACAGGAAGCTCTCCTTGAGTTCAAGCTTGCTCCTGTCTCACTACTCCCACCGAAAGTGCTAGAAGATAAAGGCTCATGAGACATCCAAAGCCTTCAACATATAAGAGAGGGAACAAAATTAAATGGAAAAACAAAAACAAACAAACAAAAAACCATGAGGAAATAATTGTCCTTAATATAAAGCCTGAGAGGGATAAATAAACAATATTGCACCCATGAATCAGGAACAAGATGCTCTAGGTGGGATGGTACATTCCTATAATACCTACCCTCTAGGAGGCTGAGGCAGGAGGGACCCTACCTGGGCCCCTTAATAACTTATCAAGACCCTGTCTCAAAATAAAAGAGGGCAGGAAATGTGGTTCAGTGGGAAGGTCCTGGGTTCAATCCCCAGTAGTGGGGAGGGGAGATACTATCAAGATGTAAGTACCATAGAGGAACAAAAGAGAAGCTCTTGAAGACTACAAATGTAAAAGTAGATACTAAGCAACCAGTAGGTGGAAGGTTTTTTGTTTGTTTTTGTTTTTCTTTTGTTTTGTGGAACCAGGGGTTGATCTCAGGCCCTTGCCAGGCAAGCGCTTATTCTACTGAGCTGTCTCCCCGACCCCAGAAGTTTTTTTTAATCTCCCAGAAGATTAGACCACAGAGGTAAAAAGGAGAGAGATAAATGAGAGAAAAAAAATAAGAGAATTAAGGACTACAATAGGAGAACTAATGAGCAAGTATCAGAGTTCCAGGAATAGAGAACAGAGAAAATAGAGGCAGGAAAAATCACAACGAGGTACTTTAATCCAGTTTCTAGATGCCAAGGGCAAATATCTTCAAACTGAAAGGAACCAGTGAAAGCAAAGACATTAAGATAATTTCAGCTAGGCATGGTGACACGTCTGTATCCACATGTTCAGGAGGCTAAGGCAGGAGGAGTGCTGTGAATTTAAGGCCAGCAGGGCTATAAAGTGAGTTGAAGCCAACCTGGAAATACATGGTGAGACACTGTCTCAAAAAAACAGAAAACAAAACTAAAATCATTTCATAGCAAGGCACATCAGTGTGAAGCTTCAGAAAAATAAAGACTAAGCGAAGATTCTGGGGCCAGGGAGACAGCTTGGTGGTCTAAGCTGCGCCTATACAGCACAAGGACCTGGGTTCAAAACTGGGAGTAGTGGTGCCTGCCTACAATCCCAGTGCTGGAGAGACTGAGACAGGAGGATCACTAGGAGTTTGAGCTGCATAACAAGACCTTGTATCAAATAAATAAATAAATAAATAAATAAATAAATAAATAAATAAATAAATAAATAAATGATAAAAAGAAGATTCTATAAATTTTTGGAAAGAAAAAACAAGACAGATGCAAAGAGTCAGGAACAGAAATGACTGTAGACATTTTTTTCTTTTTTTGTCATACTGGAGTTCAAACCTGGGACCTTGCACCCCTGGCCCTGACTTCAGATATCTTAATAACACCACAGCAATCCTTTTTTTTTTTTT